TATAACATGGCTGAAGGAAAATATTATTGGCCTGGTTTAAAAAGAGATGTGACACATATAATTTCATAAAGTAGAATTTGTCATACTACTAAAAGCAGAAAACATAGCTAAAGCTGTATTTACACCTTTGCCAATTCCATACAAGTATGGGAGGACATTAGTATGTATTTTGTATAAGGTTTATCACAAATGTTGAGAAAGCGTAATTCTATTTTTATAACTAGTCTTTTTTTAAAAAATAACTAATAGTTTATTTCATGGCATATCATAAACTGCTAATGCATCCAACATTGTTAAATTATATTTTAATGAGGTGGTTAAATTACATGGGTTCCTTAAAATAATTATTATGATTGATATGCAAAATCCATGAGTTATTCTACATAAAGTTTTGAGAAAACGATGAGAACAAAACTACAACTTTTAACTGGTTATCAACCACAAATTGATAGCAGACTATGTTAATAAGTCTATGGGCATGAGTCCATTTGAAATAGGTACAAAGTTTTAACTTAGAAAGCTATAGAGCATGTTGAGCTTACTATAGAGTAGGGGTGTCAATTTGAGTTGGCAGGCAGGGTTCAAATCTGACACAAAGTTGACTCGACTTGAATCTAATTGACCTAAACACAACTTATTTATTATACGGGTCAAAATCTTTAACTTGAACCCAACTCAAACCAAACCCACATCTGGCCCAACAAACTTGTATAGAAAAATTGAGCATGTACGTTTTTATAACAACACAACCCAATTAACCCGAATATGACGTGGTTGACTTAATCAACATGAATCAAATCTAACCAAAACCCAAATAGTAATCAGGTCAATTTCAAGTTGATTTCAATTTTTTCGGTTCAACTCGAACCCAACCCAAATAATAATTAGCCCTATAATTTAGGCCCAAAACCAACTCAAATAAAAATCAGGCCAAACCGAAATTAGATTTTTTAGATAAGTTTAAGCTGAGTTATCAGGTCAGGTCTTGTCTTTTACTAGCACCCCTACTATTGAGTATAGATCAAGTATGTTTGCACAACCATTCCCATAATATAGACTAACTTGAATAAGAAAATTTTAAAAAATTTGGATAATTAAATATAACAATAAGATTTATGTTGATGTAAATAGGATGTTTATAAAGTTTACATACGACAACGAAGTAATGGTTTGTTTAAATACAAAAAGTTTCACATTAAAACCTTAAAGAAATTAAAAATGAAAAAGGATTGACCACTTAAAATTCAGCCACCCATTTTAAGTAATGCCAACAAATAAAAAAATCTATGAAAAATTGACATTGATTTAATGTCTTACGTAACCTTGTTTCATGAACCTAATGTCAATTCCATAAATTCTTCTCTTTCACTATCTCCACTTTGTGAATTTTCATCTAACAATTTCCTAGACAAATCTATATAACTTGCACATGAAGCTACTATAAGTGATGATATTGTGATCAATATTGATGATGAATTTCAAAAATATCTTGTGCGCTTGCATTCATGTTTCATTTTGCCAAAGACATATGCTCAGTGAAAAACAAATGCTAAATTTCTCGGAGCCAAATTTGTCCAAGCCGAACAAATTTGGCAGAGATCTGCGAGTTTGTAATCGTTAGAAATGCTAAGTAGAGAAAAGACCCATGTAAGTTTTATTTAGTTTCATTAATAGAAAGTATAGGAGGGCAACATGATGAGAGCTGAGAGCAAGAAAAACTTTCTCAAGGCAATGTCAAACTCCTTATGATTACTCTAATGAGTTAATGAGAAATATTCATACTGTTAAAGTGGCTAGAAATGAGCCCTTTCCTCCTGAAATTTAGATTCACTGGATGCAAGTTTTTTTTCTTTTAGTTCGCTGTATGTTTGGTTTAAATTTTCATTTGAGTAATGTATAATGTAATTTCACTTCTTTCTTTATCCATTGGCCTGATTACATATAAGCCTACAAATTACAAATATAGAAAAGGAAAAACAGCCAATTCAGGGGTTGAACATGCTGCTCACACATTTTTTTCATAAAACATAAGCATTAACTCAAAGTTCCTTTCTTTCTTTCCAAACAAAAAGTATCAGCATTCAAACAAGAAAAACTGCTACCATTCTTATACAAATATTCACATGAATTTGCTAGTTTTTTAAAGAATTATCCAACATACACTAATGATGTTGAAGCCATATCTGAGGAGGAATCATCTCAACCAATAGTTGATTAACGTAAAGAGACTTTGAATGAAGGACTTCCAGTCTTACTAGAGCAACCATAAAAGAAATTAGCTAAAGTATAACTAAAGAGTGGCAAAGAACTTCCTCATCAAAAAAGAGGTCCATTTTTGTTAAAGACAATTCTTTCCTGCTTTGAGCAAACATTCAGCCACCCCCAAGGAGTGGAATAAAGTATCATCACCTAGACATGAAAACTTATGCAACTCAGCATCTAGGAAGCCCTATCAAAATCAAGGAATCTATGGAAGACTCGTCAAAACCCTTCTATGCATTTTTTCAGTAATTCATAATCAAGGCTCTCTATGCCTAAAATGCTTTTGTCATCATATTATTTGATCACAATGTTCTGGTATAAATTGCAGAAAATAGCTAACTACTCTATATTATTACAAAAAGCAATGTTATCCAAAAGAAGGTGAATTTTATTAATCATTAGAGCATGACTTTGCATTACGATGATCGTCTCTTGACATGTAGCATGAAAGCATTACGATGATCGTCTCTTGACATGTAGCACCTTGGAAGAGATAAGGTGTCCCCAACAATGCTTTATCGAGCAAATAAACCTAGGTTCTTTCATCCTACAACTCAAATTCAGCAAGATGTATACAGAGGCTAAGCTCCATATTTTTTATTTTCATATCTCATTTAGAGCTTTTTGTAGAATTCGTCTCCAAAGCAAAGGAGCACCAAGTAGATGATAATATGCGATTCTTTTCAGTCTATGTAATTACAACAACAACAACAACAACATCAAGCCTTTGTCCCACTACGTGGGGTCGGCTACATGAATCCTTTTACGCCATTGTGTCTTGTTAAAAGTCAAATACTCATTTAAATCTAATAAAGAAAGATCATAACTGCAAATACCATAAAAAATTTCCATTTGATGGGACCCTTCTGATAAGAAATACTTGATTTCAAGTATTTCCTAACCACTTTAGAAGCAATAATCAATGATAACCTGCTGTCCACAGCAGAAATCAGCCCCCAAAACAGTGGAAAAATAGCAAATAGGAGAAAAACAGTGGAGAAAAGACTTGTATTTTACTAGTAGAGGCAACAAAATAGAAAAGATACAATTGATCCTCAATTAGAGAGGAGGATCGATCTCTCCCAAATCTCTAGACGCCGCTAGAGCCCAAAGAAACCTAAATCTACGAGATCTCAAATTTCAGCCAAATTCAAGATACTCAAACCCTAGAAAAATCAACTATTTAATGCATACAAATCAAAAGCAATTCCCTAAACAATCCCTACATTCAATTTCCCTCCTAAAATCCATTCAAAAACCTTCCTATTCGGGCGTGCGGCTGAAACGGCGGGCGTGCGTGCGGAAACGGGAGGCGGAACTTCCGCCTCGTTGTGGTTGGGTCGGTCCCGCGTGGACCGGCTGGACCGGTCCATTGGACCGGTCTAACACCTTCCTGTGCAATTGTAAGAAGTTATGGCGTTGATTGTGAAGTCCGCAGCCACCAAAGAAGGCAGTAAACAAGATGGCTTTAATGTTTTACAAAAATGTGCCCCCAATCCAATATGGTCATTATCACTAAAAAGCAATAATGAAGATGACCAGGAAGATCCCATTCCCCTCTAACTAAAGGGTGCTGGAAAGCCCCTTCCATGAAAAGGTGATGTTTCCAGGACAATTTAAATTCAAATCCATATCTTGATCCCCTCTTTAAAACAAGGATGGAATATACTCTAAGGCAAGAGGGGGCAACTAACTCTTCAGCTTATGAAGTCATATTAGTGGTCACTACCATTACTCAACACCTCTAAGAAGCAATAAGTTGTTAAGTCCATAATATAGAGGAGATGAGATTTTCTAAGTTCCTCCAACAAAAAATTTAGCTTTTTAACTCTGAGGTATCCAAATGACAGAGTAAAAACTAGTATGTTTGACTTCTTCGTGTCAAGGAGATGCTTTCAACAACAATCATATCACTACTCTCCAATCCAAAGGAGCTCAATTCATAGGAAAGAGTAAGCCCACCTCTTTGAGAAGCTCTAGAATATAGAAGGTTCCTAAATATTGGAGCATGACAAGTACACAACCCTACAACTCGAATATTTCTAGCCCTCCCATGCACATGTAAAAAGCATGTTATATGTTGAATTCAAAAGGCATAAATAATGATGTGGATGATATTAGTTATGGTGATAATATATCAAGTAGACAAGGCATTGAATAGAGAAGCCTCCATAGAACTCAAAGATGGCAGTTGAGAGGCTCATATAAGACTCATTAACCTGCATGAACTTCAATTTACAAAGTTCCATTATGTAAAGGAGCCGTAGGCCCTAGCTTCTTGTCATGTATCTCTCATAACATAAGAAGTATATAAGTTGATTTGTTGATTACCACAGTTCCAACTCCTAAATCACCTGACAGATTTCAACCTTCATATTAATTAAAAATCTCTTAGTTTTGATGGAATGAAGTTGATTTAAAGTGAACATGAAAGCATGAGAAATTGCTCCATCATGGATTTGTGGGGAACGAAATTGATTTAATTGAACATGAAAGCATTAGAAAGTGCTCAATCATCTCCTTAAATATACTTTACCCTTTGCACTAGAATCATAATAACTTGCTTCAACAATTGAACTTAAATTCATGAAATATTTTGGAAAAATGGTTCTAGGGCAATCTCACTAAAAATAACAAATTAGATAAGCAGCTTTAATTTTCAACATAAGAGAATAAACCTTAAAATTTCTCAAAAATGTCAAAATACGAAACAACAAAGGGTGAAAATAAGATCATACCATGAAGCCCCATAGTTTATAACAGCCTAAACAAAAAAATTCAATATCCCATTAATTTAAAGTAGTTATTAAGGATAACCACTCCAAAAATTAAAGAAAAAGGGAGAAAACTCAAGACTCACAGGTGTCCTGGAGGTTTTAATGTTTAGTAAGATCTCCTTGAGCTGGGAATCACTCGAGGCAACATGGATCTTATGTGGAAGTGCTAATCCCAACCCTTCCAGGCTTGTTCTCTTCTCTCCCTCTATCATGATTAGCCCAACTGGCCAAAAAAATTTTTGATGGCAGAACAATAAGATGGGTTATGTTTCCAATACATGATTGCATATATAACCTGCCTATGTAAAAAATATAAAGTTCCACCATAACCATGTAAGAGATGCTAAAAACATAGACATCAACGCAATTATATCCACCAAAACTAAATAAAAGTAAGACAAATAATTATTCATCAAAGGGAATCTAAATCTTACAATCAATATTAATAACCAAATAATACTTATTTCGCTTACTATTGATATGCGACTCTTTCCTAATACCTTAAGGATTACACGTAAACAACATGACTAAAAAATAACATAACAATAAGTCAAAAATTGATAACTAATGCCAAACAATAGAATATTAGTAAATATAGGTGAGATCAGTAATGCTTAATGCTTTATAAAAATATCTTAATGGTCGTTTCTTATTTTCAAGTCAAAGCAGTGAGATGTATGCATCAATGATAATAATAGCAAAAAGACCAAATAATTATCAAGAAAAAAAAGCATGCCTATGCATACTCTAATAATCAATATGTATAAAATGGAGAGATGCAATCAATAAGTACGCCTAGCTAACGTGATGCAATACCAGAGCTCTTATAATGCCATAGCATGCCGTACTTGGACATGTTATCACTCGCACAATTTAGACTTGGGATTTTTTAGAATTATGTAATAATATATAATCACGAGTGATTTTACTAAGAGAATCTTTCAATAAAAGCTTGTCTTTTTTTATTTGTCTTGATTGTTTTAGAAATCTTTTCTTTCTTGTTTACTCTTTCGATGTACAATCCTCTTTATGAATATAGGATGCTTACAAGAAAATTTTAATTAATGATATGAATTCAAAAATATTTGTAAACAAGTTTGTCTCCAACCTATCACTTCAAGATGTGGTTAGCTACACACTCTCTCTAGGCCCATCTTTGGTCTACATTTTACTTCTCTCTCTTGGTGGGCCTCTAATACAACCACCCCTTCCCTCATCATTTAAGTAAACAAAGTGCAAGTCATCTTCATCATCATCATGCAAAAACCATACTTTTTTTGCACAGAGGGAGTTCTCGTGCTTCTGCATCAACCAAACCCAACCCAAGAAAAACACCTAATCGCTCCCTTAACAAAGCCAACACCACTTCCATCCAAATATGCCAAAAAAAAAATTTATAGCATGCTACCTCTCCAAATTGCTAAAACCAATGGCACAATACCTTCTTGATGAAAACCTAATTTGAAAATATTTGGCTTCATCACGCCTTTCTAACATTAAAATCATGATAACTTCTTATGTATAAAATCCCCATCAAAATATTTACAAGTCATTTACATTCATTGCACAAATATCCTTCAAGATTCACAACAGAATTAGCCATAAAATATCTTCCACATAAAGACTTGGCTTATTTGCTTGATTTTTGTTTTCTTTATGTTATTTTTCCATTGCACCTCTAAATTCAAGGAGTTTCTTTTCTACAAAGAGAGCCGACAAAAGAGGAGCCTCCCAAACATATCATCCTTGGCCTCCTTAGTCAACCACATCAAAGAAAAATCAAAATTCCTTGTTCATTTGCTTCATAGTTTCAACTGACTCTGATTACCTGCAACATCGACCACACATCATCGAATCATCTCCATCAATTTCAAGGAAAAACGAAAAACATAGCTCACACTAAAGAACAAAAAAAATCATCCTCTATTGTTCAGCTGTTCTCCAAATACATCTCATCATCTAATGATGACTGCCTAAAATTATGGCATCTCATCATTATTATAACTGGAATAATGATCTTCAAGGCCCTTATAACCAACCTTTAACTTTAGCATCTCATCATCAATACTTCAATCTACAATTGAATCCTATCAATCTAGGTAAACCCACTAAGATACATGGGATGATTTTGAAGATGACCAATATTGCCAAACTTGGTATCCAAATTCACATTTTTCATATACCTCTCATGATGCCCATGGTCTCACTCATTTTTTATACTATCATTGATCACATCATACTTCTCATAAACAACATGATTACGATACCTAAGATCACACTCATCATTCATATTTTTATCAATCACATCAAATTTTGCATTAAACACATCATGAAATCAATATTTATGTTTGTCTTAATGCCATCATTTTCTCTAACCATATGATCACTATCCACACACAATCATTCAATCAATCCTCAACCAAATTATCATTACACTTAATTACATTATCCACCACTCTCGCAAACTAAACAAAAACCCAATATTTCTACTCAATTCCACAAGCTCCACATTACGGTAGTTTTAAGTGCCTCACCAAATCCATTTGCTCCATCAGTCTTTCTATTTTCGCCTACTTATGTTGAGAATCATACCCAATCTTGAGATTGATATAGTAACCAAACTTGAGCTTGATGACGAGCTCGAATTTTAGCCCAATTATATGTGTAAGCTTAAACTTAAACTATAGATTATGCCAATACTTAATTTTACAACAATATATTGATTTGAAAATATTATTACATTGCTCTATGAGCTAGAGATGTAAGATATCGTTAAGCTCAGGAGCCTCCAATCATTGTTCCTCAATTTCTATAGATAGAAATATAGGTTGTTCCCCCAATGTCTTATCACATTGCCTGGTCCATCACAAATTGACTTAGTTTTTCCACATTTTCAACCATCAGATCATTATATAGGTGATCATAATACAATCATAATGTATGAAAGCATCTAGATTCTCAATTGGTGGAGTTAGAAAATGCTCTCGATTACCTGTAATTTTTCTTACTCCACTCTCAATGTTATAAGTTGGTTTGTACTATCCCTATTACCCTAGCCATTTATCGTGGGACCCTCACACATGCTGATGATTTTTTACACTTGAATGATAAGTGGACTTGAATGATAAGTGGTGACATCCAGCTCCAAAACCCATATGTTATATATTGCTTGTTCAAATATCTCTCAACACACGTGCTCTTTATGATAGGAATCAACCTCCTCCACATCCACAAGACTATAGTGGTTGATTGCTCTTGCAGAATTGAAACTACACATGAGCATGTTTCCCAACACCTCTTCCATGGACACCAATCCATCCAATTCAAGGAATAGTTTTTTGCGCCACAAGCGAGTTAATACAATACAAACTATTTAACATTTTATCATTTACCTTAATTGGACATATCATCACCTCCATTATTTAGATTTATTATGAAATAAATGTGGGATCGATAAATTATTTAATAAAAGATGTTTTGTGAAAATTTCAATATTATTTCCCTTGATTGCTTTAGATATTTATCTTTTTTGTTATAAGAGAATTTTGATGAATCATATGAATGCAAAGATATTTACATGCAAGATTCTCTCTTTTCCTCCCTCCCTTTCTCTTGCTTTTGTTCATGCTTTTGCATGACCATCAAAAAAACCAATAACAGGGAGATTGTTTGCTCCAAAAAACCATCGATTCCAAGTGAGCATGTTAACTCTAGCGAGCACCAAAGCATCAGGCATGCTCATGTGCTAAGCATAACAATAGCATACAATTTGCACATCTCTATCATCTCATAAATATAAGCATTAAAAATGCAACATTTCACTAGTGAGAATGAACGATTCCAACATGCTCATCAAAAAATGTTGGATGCCTTATAAAAAAGCACATAATACTATGAAAACTCAACCATAACATAAGGTGTAGTAATAGTAAGGTGCTAATAAACATGTCAAAATAAACACTAATGCAAACACATAATAATCAATCCAAACCTACATACCACATGCATCAACATAAGTAGGGTACACAGTTGAATACTGAAAACCAATAAGAAATAGTGAGAAATAAATGAAAAGATACCAAAAAAATCAACCCTCAAGACATCAAATTGTTGAATCCTCAAAAAAAGAAAATCAAAAACCTAAAACAAAGACCATAGGAATTTTTCATAAATTCGTCATAACATAGTTTTTTACAATGAATATGAGGCTATGTATAGAAATTTTAAACTACCCCCAGCTTAATTTCAAGAAAATCTTCATAAAAATAAATATAAATATAAATAAGGGCAAGAAAACTAGGAAGCCAAAACAATTATTGTAGGACTTTCTCATTAAATGCATCATAAAGTTTAAGGAATTATTTATTAAAATTGTTTGATAAGTAAAAGTCCAAACCAAGGCTAATTGTAAGAGAATCTTCATAAAAATAAAAAATAAATATAAATAACTACTAATTGTGTATAAATTAAATTTTTAAATGCATAAATAAAAGACTATTTGGGGTATCATAAAAATAGTTAGATAATTGAACATTCAAATTACCCCCAAGGCTAATTACAAGACAATCTTAATAAAATTAAAAATAAATAAATAAATAGCTGAATTATGAAAAAAATTAAATGCATAAATAAAAGCCCTATCTATTTGAATCATCACCAATCAAATTTTAGACTACATTAATTCCACTAAAGCACAAAGAGCTATTCCTTAGAGAGTAAGAGTGGTGGAGACTCTCTATGAGGCTAAAGTAGTAACAAAACATTCCATGGAAGGAGCTTGCATTTTCTTGAAGATAGACAATACCTGCATCTTGTAAGAAACTTTTGTGGCAATTCCAAATGCTACATCAAACTCCAATCTTGACGAAATGCCTTTGAGTAGGAGAGCAAGCACAAATTTTAACAAATATGATGGCAATCTTGAAGGTAGAAGAATGACATTGCAGATACTACTTTTCCCACATTTTACTCCAGAATCCCTTTTTTTTTCTTGCATTCAGATGTATATCTTGGTTAAGTTTTGTATTATAGCTAATTAGTTACCATTTTGCTAAAGTTTCCATCAATTTTTCATCATTTTGCACTTGAATACAATAATTTCTTAGAGGTTTGTCCCTTAACTCTACCAATTTCCTATAATTGAATTCTCTCCTATCTTTCTCTCCCCGCATAGCACCTTTCCTCTCTCATAAGAAAATAATTGAAAAGTTGAATTCTTGTCAAGAGATTCAATGACACAACCCTCACACCTCTTTTATCTCTCCAGTGAACAAGAATGAAAAATCTCATATTTTGTTATTGTCTCTCTACACCAACCTCCATTCTCTCTCCACCTCATCTCCTATAGTCCCTCGAGTGCTCCCAAAATTTCTTAGCAAATTAGTCAAAATCAAAATTTTAATTTCAAACCTAAGATTCCATTTAAATCCTCAACTTTTTCTTGAAATTCCACCACCAATCTAATCACATTGTACATAATAATGTTATTGCTCTTTAAGATTACAAGCATGTTCTTACTCTACCCTCCAAACGGCCGACTATTGTTGTTGATTCTGAATTGCATGCCAAACTTGAATTCTATTTCTAGTTGGTTGGGTCGCTTTAGTAACTCGCTATTACACGTTCTGGCACTTCATTTGTTGTATTCTTCCTTTGTAGGCATATGCATCGGCAATATCACATTCATTTATAGTTGCTGAAACGAATTTTAAGATATCTTCAAGGAACCATGCACTTTGGATTACCCCTCTCTTGTTCCAAACTTGAGCTTCATGCCTACTTGGACTCTGATTGGGTTGCTCACAAATGTAATCCTTGTTTTATTACTAGTTATTGCTCTTACCTTGGCTCCACTTTAATGCCGTGGTGTGTCAGAAAACAAACTATCATAGCTCACTTTTCCACTAAATCTGAATATTGGGCTTTGACTATTGCAACCACTGACAATATTAGGTTGAGATGCTTGCTTCTTGATTTTCATATTTCACTTGATGAACCCACACCTATTTTTTTGTGATAATGTTTCAGCTCTTCCCTTGACTAATAATCCGGTGTTTCATGCTCTTACTAAAAACATCGAGGTTGATTTTCATTTCATTCAAAATTGTATCGAATCCCAACATATCTCTGTTTATCGTATTACTTCACAAGATCAACCTACATATATATTTACATTCCTTGTTTGCTGGGTTCTTTGCTTACTTCAGATCCAAGTTAATAATTCAAGAACACATTGTTAACTTGTGAGGAGATAATAAATGATTAATTCAAGTGATAAGTTATCTAGGAATGGTGTTGCACGCTCTAAGATCTCTCTGTCTAAGACACCTGCTGCTACTATACACTTTATTGTTGTAGTTCATCCAGCCATTAGTCTCCAATTGATCTTCATCTCATCGCGTGTTGATAACTAACTTTAATACATATATACCAATAGTATTGTGGAGCTTGGGTTCTTCTTCAATGGAATAGGGAATCAGTTTTATGCTGCCGTTATCCATTACGTTCTTCATTCTATATGAATAGTTTCGGCTATCAGATTTAATGCAAGTCTGACGAAAGGTTTCTACAGTTTGGATGCAGGATTTAAGCAGGATTCGAGTTAAATCTTGCCAAACGCCTGCTCAAATATCACGGTAAGTAAATTCCCATATCATTGCGTTTTCATATTTTTCCTAAATCCCGGGTTTAGTAAATCCCATAGTTTACAGGACTTAGCTGCAGAAGCTCGCGAAAAGGGGTGAAAGATCGTCACCTTCGTGCGTGGCGAGCTCCCGTCGTGACTTCCGATCCAACAGGAACGACGTTGTCGAAGAGGGCGAAGCAGCTTCCACTCTTTCAAAACTTCACCCCGCAAGTCGCAACACGGGAAGCCGAAGCGGCAACGAATATGGAGACAACGAAAAGCAAACCCTGCGGAACAATTATGAGTTCAGGTGACCTTACATAGCTCAGGCTCGGATGCTAATAACATGTCTCCAGACTCCAGGTGGTCTTATCCAATATCGTACGGCCTGATGACTTGACCCGGGATTGTTATGTTCGTGTATTGCTCGGTATTGCTCTAGGTATTATTCGATATTGCTAGGTATTGCTCGGTATTGTTAGGTCGGCAATAATGAAAAATATTGTTCTGTGAAGACTAATACAAAGCAATACCGAGCAATACCTAGCAACATGCAAACATAGCAATCTCGTCTATGTTCCGGGTCGGGGTTGTCGGGTCACGCGTTAAATAGTGAGAACACGTGGCACTATTTTACTGGCGTCTGAATGTAGAGCTACGTCAGGTGACTGGACCAAATAAAAGTTCATATGCAAGCTTAGACTATAGGAAGAGTATGGACAAAGAATATCAGAAAGGCCATGGTCGAGAATACCGTCTAGTGACCCTAGTTCTTTCGGTCCCACTCTAGGTTGGGTTAGGTGAAATAATTTCATGCAAATATTTGTAGATTAATTAGAATTAGTCCTATTATTTTATGTTTGATATCCGGCTAGTTATTGTTCGTTACCCCAGTTTGATATCAAGCTCGGTATCGAGTTTGGTATCGCTGACGTAGCGCATTTTAATTGGTCTCCGGATAGTGAATTGCGTTCGGTGTCTGCAGAAAATAATCTATTGATTGGGCCCTTGCTTTTGCTTTATTATTTCATTAGTTTAATTAATATGCAATTAATTAATAATTATAATGATATTCATATATAATTAAGATTGATAAAAATTTTGCTTAGGAAGGACATACTAAAAAATCAGAGAAGAGTAATTATAAAAAGAGACGAACAATGATAGACTAGAAATTCACACATAATAAGTATACAACTATAATATTAAACTTTTTTTCCACTGTGGGATTGGCTATATGAGTTTTTTTCTACATTGTGTCATGTTAAGAGTTAAATTCTTCCTAAATCTAATAAAGAAATATTATTTATGATATTTTCTAACTAAATCTTTTTAAATATACCTCTTGCCTATAAAATTTTGAAATTAGAATTTATGTTTCACTAATTTAATAATTTACTAATCAATGATTATTTTAAATATTAATATATTATAAGTATTATTCAATATGATATTAGGATATAAGAAAAATAGATTAACTATTATTATTAATTATGGCTAAATTACATGGATTACACCTGAAAGCATAACTCTTTTTTTTTATTTTGTAAATGATTTTAAGAATTGAATATATAGATATCTAATTTATAAGTATAAGTATAAATAAAAATATCATAATAAATAAATTAGTTATATTTTTTTAATTATATTTTATAAGTATTATGATTAAATCCTTATATAAATTAAATATTTTTATTATTTATATGATAGTCTAATTTTTCTATTATTTTATATTTACACTGTAAGAAAATGGAGATAATTGATGAGACAAGTCATTTGTGATGGACAATCTTTTTTGTTTTTGTATACATAAGAAACATTTATTGATGGTGGTGTTTAGCAGATATTGTTCCCATAAAGGAGGAATCCTGTGTAGTTGGTTCTGGGTTGCTATATTTCTCAAGATAATATATCATATTTATGTGTTCAATTACTATATTTTATACTTTGATAATACTATTGGATTCCTATATCACTATTACAAAATTATTGTATAAGGGACTCATTAAATAGTATGTTATTATTGGGAATAAATTTGTCCTAATATTATGCCTATTTAAGTCTGATGGTTATCAAGTTTGGAGGCACCATAGTTAGCTCCTTCTCAACTTATTCCTTTTTTCCTGAAGTCTTCCTTAGTTCTTCTTGAGTCTATTATAAGTTACAACAATAAGGATGGGTCATATCTTTAAGAAAGTTAGTAAAGGTTCCTCTAACACATTATTAGTAGAGACAATAGCTCGGCAAAGGAAAAAGTGCGACTAATCATCAAACCCTAGATTAGAAATGCTTATGCATTTGAATGATGCATTCTATTGTTGCACTCATTTTTTAATGTTGGAACATGATTAGTTGCTTATGGCATTACATGTGGAGACTATGAAAACACACAGTGACCCACAATGAAAGCATTTCTAATCGGACATGGTTGGAAAAATTTAAAGCGTTTGATTGTCATATTGTTGGGCTAAATTTTCTACAAAAATATATCTTTAGCTAAATTGCCTCATTAACATATTGCAATATCATGAAATATATGACATTAATTTAAACATCAACATGTATCGAAAGTGAAGCAACCATGATGACAAGTTTATATTAAATTTGCACAACAAGTTAATGAGTAAGCTTGTTAAATATGATAGGAAGAAAAACTCTTTTAACTGGAATTAATTGGTAAAAAATCTAACACTTATTTGAGTACTACATTCATTGTTATACAACTCATCTACAATTGCAAGCTCGCATGCAAAAGTTATTATGGAGCAGAAGTAGGAAAGTGAGGAGGCAATATAAAATATGGTAGGTCTAGATATATCATTATTATCTAGTTATGCTCTATAGTGTGAATGTTTACTTCTATTGATGGTCATCTATTATAGTTGTAATGTATATTTATATTTTTGTTTGACATATGTAAGTTGCTCTCTTCTTTTTTTATTTTGTCACCTTGTATTGAAATATATGTCATATTTTAAATTAAACTGTGTAATCTTTGATAGAATGCAACATTGAGTTTTCGGCACATGAACTATTTATAATAAAGTTGTATTTGATGCATAAACAAGAATGTTATAATTCATGTTACCTAATTTTACTTGGGTATGTTATGTTTGATATTTCAATTAATTAGCATCTCTCATATAAATGATTTTTTTTTTCTTTTTCATAAAATAAATGGAAAGAGAAAATTCACTAATATTTCACTCAAAGATATATATTTGACGTGCACAATTACAAAATTATTTTAGCGGAAACAATGACAACCTAAGGTCTTTGATGAATTGGAATGACATCTATCCTTGGGGTGTATCAAGCAAGTGTTCGGAAAGTTATTTTCTTTAGTTCTGCCGTATGATCTATATGTTCATCCTCATGATATTTTGGGTTGTGCTATACTAGATGTTCTCCTTATAGGAGTGAATCCTGCTGCATCCACTACAGAAAAATTGCCCATTACCAACAGATTTTTCCGATGGCTTTCTAGCGTACTATTTTCCTGCATCTTTCCAACATATTTTCGACAGAAAATGTCTAACTATTTTTTTCTGCATATTTTATGGCAGTGTTTCCTGTGGCTTTTTTGTCGGATTTTAATTATTTTATTTTAAATAAAAAACATGATAGTTACACAATTTTGCCCTTCTAGCAAACTGGTTGGGTCTTTGGAATCATACTCACTTTGAATTTCAGGGCATGCGGGCAGCGTGAGCAGGGAGCCATGCTGGCAGGTAAGGGCAGCACGCAGCTCAGGAGGGCAGGTAGCAGGCAGTCTGGTTTTTTAAATTAATTTTTTTTTTTTACTCATGGTGCATTATTTTGCCAGAAATCTACCAAAAAATTTTACCCCAGAAATTAGCCGTCGGTTGTCGTTTCTTACGTAGCTTTTGCTGGTAGAAAAATATCTATCGGAAAGCCGCCGGAAATTCACCAATTTTTGCCGATAGCATAGGATTTTCTTGTAGTGATTGAATATGACATCAAACTTAACAATGTGAAATGTTCTTATATTTTCTCCCTTTTTTATGAGGACTTGCAAAAATGAGGGAAGTTATTCAACTCTCCAAATGAATTTCTCAATATTATTATACTTGGAGGCATTTTGCAATAGATCCTCCAGAGTTGTTAGTAGATTCCTGGAAACAAAAAGCTTAGTATTATAGGGTTACATCTCTAGGACAAAAGTAGCTTTAGTAATATTATTATCATTGCCAATGACTTCATGAAATGCCTTGTTAAATATATTGGTGTAATCCTCAGGGAATTCTCCTATGCTCTAACTGATGTAAAATAGTGATTGAGAGATCTTCAATGACCTCTTGGATATAGTAAACTAAAAAAAATAAGATATAGAAAAAATTCTTAAAGGATTTTATGCTTCCTATGGGTAAAAAGTTAAAACATCTCCATCTTATGTCATTGAAAGTATTCACAAAAAGCTGACAATTGATTGCATTAGAGATGTTGTACTTGGACTTCATGTTTTCTAATGTACTGAGGTGGTCTGACAGGTCAGATGTGTCTTAATATGTTTTACTCAAGGGGCCTTGAACTTTAATATGACCACCTCTTCAATAATAATTGGAGTGAAAATAGTGTTGTAGACAAGTTGGTATGATGTGAGTAACAATAAGGTATCATTCACCTCAATAACCTTCCCTCAATTTAGGGTTTGCACAAGTTGAGCAATGGACGTTAGTGGTTACTGAAGGAAGACCTTGATGATGTATATGAGATTGAAGATATGTAAATAAAGATCATTGAAGTTGACATTCAAATAGTTATGAGTAACAAAAGAAGTGCTACTCAGGGCTCCCCTATTGAAGGAGTTAAGGTCATGATGTTAAGAATTCCTCTCCATGGATCCTTTCCAAAATAAGGAAAGTGGTGATTAATTTCCCACAAATAACACTAAAAAAGACACTGATGGTGACAAATGTGTTGAGCAGAGTTGGCAACAAGAATGCATGCTTCAGAGATTCATAAAAAATGAGAGGGAATATCAAAATAGCCCTTAGGCTCCAAATTCTAGTATATACTAATAAACAATATAATCCTTTCTCATAATTCCCTCTAATGGAATATCATAATAACCCTCAAGTTTCAGAATCATAATATCTCTCAGGCTTCATAGTTTTTATCACAAATATAAAATAGAATCTCTTCTCCCTGCAGCTAATTCAATTATTTCAATCATAGATATTAAAAATAAAGTAAATTATAAACTACTAAAATAATCAAAGTATTGTCGTATGATCATACAAAAATACTCTAAAGGTTGTTAAATAATTTTCACCTGATGTTGTATAGTTGCCAAAACCAAGTTTTCATAATTTCAACACATTATTAGAGATTGTGTGTAACAATATTTTGAAGTTTTAATTGAACTAAAATACTTTTTTAAGATGTCAAAATAAAAGTTTGAATTGATAAAAATATTATTTTTTTAAAATCACTCGGCGAAAAATCTTAAATAAATACTTAGAATTATTAAATAGTCCCACCAATAACATATCAAAAGTTACAAGGATAAAAGTTACCAAAATCTGATAAAACTACATTTTTTTGTAAAACCAAATTGCAAATTTGATCGGAAAAAAATCTTAAAAATACCAAATTATTGAAAATAAAAATTGGCAAAATGTAATCTATCTTTAGAAAAAGGAATATTTTAATTGGACCGACTAGCAAAAATGAATCTATGACCTTCAAAATCTAATTTTTCTTTTGTCTTACCTATATGTTTCTTCTCTTTTCACCTTTTTCATATTTTCCTCCACTATTAAACAAAATGGGGAAAATGAAATGGCCATGAGGAGGTATGTGAGCGGAAATAGATTTTTATAATAAAAAATCAAAGGATATATTGATAATTATGCTAATTATTCAAATTTAAATAATAAAATTCATATAAATCTTTTTATATATTCAAATATAGGAATCCAAAAATTATGAAAAAATATTTATAAATTAGCTAAGTATGTCTAAAATGAATGGGTGAAATCAGTTCGTAAAATAGACACTTAATGATCCCAAAAAATTCACTTGTATTGACACATGTTAAATTCTTAAGAAGTGCAACAATGCTTTTGAAATTAGAAAAACAATTATTATAATTAGAGCAGAATAATATGTAAGTTATCACAAAGCCAGTTTTCAATTTTGACTTATAATAACTTATGAAATAAATTTTGAATGTTATAAGTCAAAATATATCTTTTAAAATTTAAGGGCTATTAAATTTAGAGAGTTCTTGTCACGCCCCAAGATCTAACTTGGAAAGAATTGTCAATCTATTTCTCAAACAATTTACCAGAGCTATCTAAAACCTTCAATTAAACAGTCTATCAAACATCTATAAAATTTAAAACATCAATATACAAGTCGATTCATATCTCAAAAGGTCATGTACATTCATAATTTCATCACATTATTAGAGATTGTGTGTAACAATATTTTGAAGTTTTAATTGAACTAAAATACTATTTTTAGATGTCAAAATAAAGTTTGAATTGATAAAAATATTATTTTTTCAAAATCACTCGGCAAAAATCTCAAATAAATACTTAGAATTACTAAATATATAGTCCCACCAATAACATATCAAAAGTTACACGGATAAAAGTTACCAAAATCCGATAAAACTGCAATTTTTTGTAAAACCAAATGCAAATTTGATTGGAAAAATCTTAAAAATACCAAATTATTGAAAATAAAAATTAGCAAAATGTAACATATCTTGAGACAAATGAATATTTTAGTTGGACAGACTAGCAAAAATGACTAGATGACCTTCTAAAACTAATTTTTCTTTTCTCTCACCTATATGTTTCTTCTCTTTTCACCTTTTTCATATTTTCCTCCACTATTAAACAAAATGGGGAAAATGAAATGGCCATGAGGAGTTATGTGAGCTGATATAGATTTTTATAATAAAATAATCAAAGGATATATTGATAATTATGCTAATTATTCAAATTTAAAGCATAAAATTCATATAAATCTTTTTATATATTCAAATATAGGAATCCAAAATTTATGAAAAAATATTTATGAAATAGCTAAGTATGTCTAAAATGATTGGGTGAAATCAGTTCGTAAAATAAACACTTAATGATCCCAAAAAATTCACTTATATTGACACATGTTAAATTCTTAAAGAAGTGCAACCATGCTTTTGAAATTAGAAAAAAGTAATTATAATTAGAGCACAATAATATGTAAGTTATAGCAAAGCCAATTTGCAATTTAGACTTATAATAACTCATGAAATAATTTTTTAATGTTAAAAGTTAAAATATATCTTTTAAATTTTACCGGCCGATCGCAAAATCGTCCCGGGACGATCAGACCAAAATCGATCGTCCTGGACGGTTCCCAGAACTATTTTCAGGACGGTATTTTGAATAGTACAGATCGTCCTGGACGATCTCAATATCGTCCCGGACGATCCTGGGAGGAAATAAAGTCAGAGAGGAACAGTAAGGGAACGAGGTCTCACAGTTCTCTTGAGACCCTATAATGCATAGACCAAGAAACCTTCAAAGGTTGCCTCCTCAACAAATACTGACGATCATCCTGAAACCTTTTATGAGGAAACCCCCCCTAAGGCTAATTGAAGAGTCAAATTGAATGGCTAGGACACATGAAGCCTTGATAACCCTCCATTCATAAGGTTGTGATTGACTTCTAAAATGTGTGAGGTTTTTGAGGTGACACATGGTCTCCTATTATATTAGAAGAATGATCAATAAAAAAATCATCCTTGATCATCACTTAATGATTGTCAATGACCAATGGCTGCCATATATTGATGTTTAATGCTCATGTTCTTGATGTCCCCAGATATTATGAGAATGACCAATCTAATTTCCACCATCATCTAGCTTTTGACTTCTCTCATTTATCATTGTATAACTCGTGTTAAGTGTTAATGACCAACATCTGTCACTCATTAGAGTGAGTTGCCATATTGTAAATTTTTCTGATGGGTTTCTTAATGACTACACATTAATGTGTAACTAGGCCACGAATGAGGAGAGTTGGTTATTCTATAATTTTTTTAGCATACATGTTAATGAACATAAACCAATTGAAAAAAAAAAAGGATAGCTATAGAAAAAATAACAAATGCATAATGGCCATATGGGTTTGAAATAAAATAGTAATAATAAAAGAAATAGAAAATTTGCCTCATCTATTCATGAGTTGCTCATTAAAAAAAGAGATTATAGTGTGGTGGAGCAACTTTTTAACCTAATTTTTGGTTTTAGGTTGTCTTTACCAAAAAAAATGGTCATAATGGGCTCTAAAGCCTTTATATCTGCTTTGGGATGAGTGTAATACATAAATAATTTATATTACACCCATCTTAAAGGAGTTCCAACGATTTTAAAGCCTATATTGATAAAAAATTTAGTTTGAATATTATGAAAAAAAATTTCCCTTTAAAATTTTGAGTAAATGCACTCATTCGAACACAACTATAAATATTTAACTATTTTTAAAATTTGCTCAAGAAAACTTGAGTTTAGCATATTTTTATGATTTATAGCTTCAATTCAAGTAAATTATAATAAAATTGAGATTTAAGTGATCTATTTTAGTTCAATTTATATTTTTTTGAATGATTTACGTACATATATAGCACTTAAAACTACCCAATTTACACTTAAACGCCTAAACTTCATTATTTACAAAATATATTAGATGGAACCCTCAATGACAATGAAAAGTTTTGACACAAGTCATTATATGACCATACTTTCATCAGCTCTACCCACCCTATTGATACCGTTAGGCCGCACCACAAGTTCATCGAATAACCAAGACATAAGAAAGTTGAGGCAGAATCTCATTGGGCTTGCTGATAAGGACATCAATGGAATTGAGGACAAGAAAAATATGAAAAGGGTGAAAGTAGTGATTTGGTGGTGAGAAAAGGGAGGAGGGAGTAGAGGTAATACATGTAGAAGAGCATGATGGAGAAAGAGGGAAAGAAAGATGGAGAGGAGGAAGTAAAGCTACCTAGCTTATGAAGATGGAGGAGGAATATGAAGGAGAGCAAGGTGGGGAGTGTAGGGAGACATTAGCGAAGGTGGACAAAGATGAAAACGTGTGATCTTTTGAAAAGAGGGTGTTGTGAACTAATATTATTGATGATTCAATTAATGGAGTACTATATTTAGTAATTAACAAAATTTAAATATTAAATATATAAATCTGATACTTTTTTGGATGTGCATTATCCTTTTTAAAAATCAAAATTAATTCAAAATTATGAGTAGGATAAATTATTATGCAACCACATAATTTGATGATCATTTTATTTAATTCTATTTTAATCCAAAATTGTTAAACCCACTCATACGTTTCAACCAAATAGGGTATTGGATCATTTTCTAGATTACGATAACATTTTACATTTTCTTAGGCATTTAAATTAAATTAAATTAATTAAGATAAATTTAAATGTTAGTCGCGTAGCTTTTGTATTTTTATTACGATATTTTAGTTACCGCGTATCAAAATGGAAGTTGTCGTACTGCAACTGGCTCGAAGCACACGACTCGTACACGAAATCTGCGGAGCATCTATCCTGCGTTCCGGCGAGCAAATTTACTCACCGTCAAACCGAAATCGCGAGATCACATCTCACCAAGAGGGCAATCTATGGCCGCCGCCGAACTAGTCGCTGCTGAACTCGTCGATTTCCTCAACGCATCTCCCACAGCTTTCCATGCTGTCGGTAATGAAAAACCTAAACACCCGGATTACTCTACTCTATGCTTTTTCCCGTCCATACCTTCCACGTTTCGGTTGTCTTTGATATTTTTGGGGAAAGATATATAGTAATTCATCATGCATCTGTTGTGTATTGTTAGATGAGGCGAAGAGGCGCTTGAAGAAGGTTGGTTTCGAGCAGGTTTCGGAAAGAGATGACTGGAATCTGGAACTTGGAAAGAAGTACTTCTTCACGAGGAATCATTCTACTATCGTGGCCTTTGCAATTGGCAAAAGGTGTCTCCTTTTGATCACACCCTACCTGACATGCGTGAATGCGAATGCGGAAACAGAACTGTCTTCTGACTGTTTTTTTTTTCTCCCAACTTATACTGAGCTAAATAGAAATTTTTTTTCCAGATATGTTGCTGGAAATGGATTCCACATTATTGGAGCGCACACGGATAGTCCTTGCCTCAAACTGAAGCCCACTTCAAAGGTTGCTGATTTCATTCCTTTGGTTATTGCTTTGCCTGCTATCCCCTGTATCTTTAAATTCCATCTGTAAGCTGTGGTATACAAATTCCATTTGCTATATACTTGATTTGATTAAGATTTTTTAAACTTGTTTGGTTTTTTAGCCACTTTTGATGCATTTTATCTTTTGGGTATTAGTTAGAAGTGTTTTTGGCATGATTTTATCTAAACCGAGGAAAAAGGTTAATGGTTAGAAATCGAGTTGTTGCTCACGATATGACGTTTTTTAGGTAGCAAAAGGAGGATATCTGGAAGTTGGCGTGCAGACATATGGTGGTGGATTGTGGCACACCTGGTTTGATCGTGATCTAACTGTTGCAGGTCGTCTAATTGTAAAGGAAATGAAAGATGGTTCAGTTTCTTATACTCATAAGCTTATCAGGATTCAAGAGCCAATCATGCGGATACCTACATTGGCTATTCATCTTGATAGGTATGCCCTTGCAAAAACCTGACGTTCCTAATGGTTCAGGGGGTACCTGTTAATGTCCCAGTTTTTCCTTCAACTTGTTCAACTTTATTAAAGATGTAGATAAGTAGAAATGTGCTGAAAAGTTTTTCCCTAAATAATGTTGCCTCCGATCGATTGTGATCGTATGACCTTAATGGCAATGTTTTGCAAAGTTTAAAAATTTGAAGGTATATTATTTCTAGCAATCTTTTTGTTTGGAAATGATATTTCCGGAACTTGTTATTCTTTGGAATTAATGAGTTGATAGAAACTACTCATTCAATATGTCAGCACTAATATGATGTTTCACTTTTTCCATGCAGGGGTGTTACGGATGGATTCAAAGTTAATACACAGAGTCATCTTGTCCCTGTGCTTGCAACATCTGTTAAGGTGATTAAATACTAAAATTCAGTATTGTAGACATCCTTTTGAATTTCCTAAACAAACTCGAGTAGTTTTAACTTTTGTAGCTTGCCGAAGTAATTCATGGACTTCCCTTGTATTTAATGTTAATATAAATCTATCCAAGTAATGTACTCAGGTTATGGTCTGATTGTGATAGGCAAAATGTATAGCAGTCAAACCCATTGTCCTAAGTTAACACATTTGTTTGCTGAAGTCTTCATGTGGAATGCCAAATTTGTGAAGACAAAAATGATAGGATATATGAAGAATACAACACCAAATTTTAGGATCATCAAAGTGTTCAAGGATCTTAACATACCTGAATGATCCATTGCGAACAAAAGGAATGAGATGGGAAGGTCTTCTCTCCTTTTTCCTACAACATGGAACCTTGTGATGGAATGAGTGCAAAACATATTAGGGTAGGCTAGGGGACCTAGCCCTTTTATATTTGTAGCTTGATAGGCCCTTCCATCATGAGTTGTTAAAACTTTGTTCTACACTGGCTGCAAACCGCTTAAACCAAATTTAGTTTATTTGGGCCCATATAGATTAGGATCATTCAGTAGGCTTATAATTTTAACTTGTGTTACCAGCCAATTAATTAGTTATTAATTAAATTGTAATTAATGGTACCCTATAATTATGAGAAGATTCCAACATTCTTCCACCTTTTTTTATTAATTTTTTAAAATTTTAATTTATTATTATTATTATTTTCTTCCACTTGGAACAATGTTAATTATCAATAATATTGATCAACTAAATATTACTGAAGTTGTGCCACAATATAAAAGTAAATTGGTCCATGCATATTTAAAACCTTCATATATAATTCAATCCAATAAGATCATCATACATTGAATCATGGCAGTCTGTCATGCCCATTATTGCCTCTAGGCCAATTCATGGGTACCAGTGCCAATAAGCTTATCAACATAAATCTCAAGTGGCATTGTAGCAAGAAAATAACACTTCAAAATGTGATCTTAATATCTTATCTTCATTATCAACCTTATTTCCTTAAATTCAATATGCTTCAACGATGTGGCTAATGGCTTTTATATGTCTTTCATTTGCATTAATAATAAGCAAAGCAACTATAGACCTGCATGTCTCAATGAAATTCACAATATGACAATAACTATAAGAGAAATACTCATCATGATATAGATTTGCTCAAAATGGCATATAGCTTGAACTCACAAGATAAGGCATGATATTATTAAGAAAAATATGATTTTCTAACGAGGATTACTCGGATATATTCATTAAGGACAAACATTGAATATGCAAATAAACTCTTTTATAGCACAAAATTTGTTTTTCATAATCACTGAAGCTACCACTGAGTAGGATTATCAAATTATTCAAAAATACCCATATGATCGACTTGCCTTTTGAAGATCATAAGCCACAACATTTTAGTAAGCGGTTGACATTAATGATCACAATACTATTAGCTCGAACTAAGTCTTTAATAACAAGAAGTTTTATTTCAATTTGTTTAGAAGCTCTAGAGTTTCTATTATTCTTGGAAAAAAATATCACAACTTTATTATCACAATAGAGTTTCACTAACTTAACAATGGAAGCGGAAATTCATAATCCAAAAATTAAGTTCCTAAACCAATCAACTCATGCAAAAGCTCTATAACAAGCCACAAACTCTACTTGCATGGTTGATGAAGCAACCAGAGTTTGCTTAGCGCTCTTCTGTTTGTTTCAAGTTATTTTTACAGCCATCAAAATCATAGTTAGTAAGCCCAATTAACTCCAAATTATCCAATTTACTATAGACAAGCTTATAATCCTTTCCCTCTGCAAATATGTCACTATTTTCTTGCTAACACTCTAATGATCATGTCTAATATTAAGCTAATATCTGCCTAATATTTCAACAACAAATGCAATATATAGTATTGTACAAACTTGAGCTACATAAAGCTACCAAGTAAAATAGCATAAGATGGATATTTCATGGACTCCTCTGTATCATTTATGGGACAATGATTCAAGCTAAGCAAGTCACCCTTTATAATAGGTGTATATTATGATTTGTAATTTTGCATATCAAACATTACTAAAAACACAATAAATGTTTGTTTTTTGATATACTCGGGATTTGTCATGTTGAATTTAGATTCCTAAGACAAATGCTGCATTTCCTAAACCCTACATATAAAAAATTGGAGATATAAGCTTTGTAGGATCGGTTTGGGATTGTTACGACTGTTTATAAAATTAGTTGTAGCATTTTTGTAAGAAAAAACCTTGTTTTTGAAAGCTTTTTCTGATATTATAGACTTTTTTCTTTAGAAAAAGTCATACAATAACATTATTGTAATTATCATAGTCTAGCAAATTTGCTTGTGAGTTTTGGCATGTGAGATAGTTGTAGCCAAACATAAGTTTGGCAACGGTTTGCAAAGTAAAACTGTGAAAAAATTCTCCCAATTGCATCTTTAGTCTCAAAGAAAAGAAAATATAACAAAATACAAATCAAGACATAATATGAAAATACAATTTGATTAGCCCTAAATAGACTTCCCAACTTCCCTCCTAAACCAATCCTTTTCCTTAATTGATTCCCTTCTCAATTTGAATTTGATTTAGATCTCTTTTCTAAATAAATTCCCCATAATTATAACAATATCCCCTCCCCCCCTAAAAAAAAGGGTCACATATTATCCTCATGGTGGAAGGTTGGGAGCTGTCTCCTAATCTTCTTGTATGGCTTCCATGTGCCATTGTGCTATGGAAGATCCTTCCACTTGATTAGCACCTTCTGTGCCCCCGTTTCTTCTCTGCGCACACCTGCTACAGTGCTACTTTTACGGGTTTCAAAATGACCTCCATATCCTCTGTCAAAGTCAAGGGTAGTAATGATGATGTGTGCTCTCCTATCACTTTCCTCATCTGCGAGACATGAAAGATTGGGTGCAAAGCTGATGAGGGTGGTAGCCTCAATTGATAGGTTATTGCTCCAATGCGCTCCAAGACCTCATAAGGCTCAAAGTATCATGGGGATAATTTCTTATTCCTCATCTTGGCTTGTATCTTCTGTCTGTAGGGCCTCAATCTTAAGTAAACCATGTCTCTTCACTCGAAGTTTACTTCTCTCCTGTGCTCATTAGCCTTCCTTTTCATGATCAGCTGGGCTCTCAATAAATATCCCTTTAATAATACCCTTTCTCTCTCCTATAAGTATTGTTCTACACTGAACACTGGTGTAGTGCTTTGCCTATAATGAATCAAATGAGGTGGATCTCTTCCATGGAGAATCCTAAAAGGGGTGGTATATGTTGCTAAATGGTACGAGGTATCGCCCAAGCAATCCATCTTGCCCAACTCTTCAGTTTGTCTGATACAAAGCATCTTAAATAGGTTTCTACACTTCTGTATGACCATCTGTTTGGGGGTGGTAGGCTGTACTTCTCTTCGGGACTGCCCTCTATAAACAAAATAACTCTCTCCAAAAATGATTGAGGAACACCTTGTCTTTGTCTGACATAATGGATTCTGGAAATCTATGCAAGCACATCACCTATCGTATGAAAACAGTAGCCACAGGGATCGTGGTGTAAGGGTGCTTCAGAGGGATGAAGGTACAAATTTGCTCAGATAATCCTCTACTACCAGTATCACCAAAAAACCCTCATCTTCATCTCCTCCCACAACCTTTCCAGTAGGACTAGGGGTTGTAGTAACCATACTGGTGTCATGGTTAAGTAGTTGTGCATTTGGCACACATTGCATTTGGCTACCCAGTCCTCTACATCGCTGCGCATCCAACCCAATATAATTCCGCTGACAATCGACTATAGATTTTCTGAACCCTTGAATGTCCTCCAACTACACTGCCATGCCATGAAACTTTTATAACAGCTTGGGGATGTATTGCAATCCCTGTGGTAGAGCGAATTTCCCCTGATGTAGCAGTTGGACTCCTCTCAGTGTGTATTTAGGATGACTGTCTGGGTTATGTAGCCAATCAGCTATGATATTCCTCAATCCTTCATCCTATTCACTCTTATGTTTCAAAGCTTCTCAATCTAAGATCATGGGTATTGACAAGGCTGCTAACTAAGGCTCCTCGACTCTCCTGGACAAGAAGTCTGCTACTTTATTTTCTAAGCCCGATCGGTACGGGATCTCAAAATCATATCCAAGCAATTTGGATAACCATCGCTGATGCTCCTTAGTGGTCATCCGTTATTCCAACAAAGTCTTCAGACTCCTCTAATTTGTCCTGACTCCGAAGTGTCTCCCCAACAAATATATTTGTATGATGCAATGGAATTCTTATGTTCAATTCACATTTGGTTATATACCGTTGAAATACAAATGAGAATCTTTTTAATCTACTATTAATTTTTTATGTCATAATATTTTGAATCAGCCCTGTCCTGGTAGAAGGGGATACTTCTGGTGCATCACATTCATGTGGAAGATTGGTTCTTAAAAATTATTATCAAAAGGCTAAGTAGCTATTGTGTTGTTCTATATTATATTTTTTCTACAAACTTTCTTTATGTTCTATTTATAGGCTGAACTTCAGAAACTGGGGGTACAGAATGGTCCCATAGACGCCAAGTTCAAAACTGATGGAGTAGAATCACATGATAAGAAAAGTATTGATGACAGAAAACATCACTCAGTTTTTCTCCAGGTACCTTATAGCTGGGATTGTAGATTTTTTCTTTGAGTTGCTTGATAATTATTTATATTAATACCCCCTTATGTCCATCCTGCTGCCCACCAAATAGTGGCATAATAGTTGAAGTTTTAATTTGCTCAGTTAATTGCTGACAATGCTTGCTGTAAGCCGGACGAGATTTGTGATTTTGAGCTGCAACTTTGTGATACTCAACCAAGTATTATAGGCGGTGTTCTGAAGGAATTCATATTCTCAGGAAGGCTTGACAATTTGTGCATGTCATTTTGTTCACTGAAGGTGACAAAAGTTCCTATTTTGTTGTTTCTTTAATTGTTTTGGCTTATTTTTTTTAGTAAATATTTCTGGTAGATAACCATTGTTGATTAAAAATTTGCCGTATCTGCATCTTCACGTATTAGTGTTCTCTAGGTTTCTAGTGAATGATGTCTAGACATCAATTTGACAGAGTTGATTTCTGCAATGTTGCTTCACAGACAGATTTATGCATTAGGCAGAGAAGATACCAAAGTAATGGAAATTTTTAGAAATAAAGGAAATGAATGAACTACATGGCATTCAGTACAAAGATAAGAGGAGTTATATTGAGATTGTTACTTCAGTAAAATTATCCAACTTCCGTTATATTCATTTCGGGCTGCTTCAGTTCTTCAATTACTAATACTAATGAAGTTTAACAAATCTTTCCAGAACTGCCGTTATTTTAACTAGGGTTGAAGTTGTTGTTTGTGTGGTTGGGAGGGATATGTGGATTGCTAAGTTAACAAGTTGAACAGGGTCCTCTTTATTTTTTATTTTATTTGTTTACTTATTTCATTGTTTTCCATAAGCTGAAGGCTATTGGTTATATCATTTTTTGTCAATTTAACTACCGTCTAAATATATTCTTCTTTTTGATAAGACTAGAGAGAGAGTTGAAGGAAAGTTTGAAGAATTATGGATGCTAATTTAGAGTCTGAAGATTTTTTCTTTGAGTAGATCTAAAATTGAATATATAGTGTGTAATTTTAGTAGTAATAGATCTAGCAGGGGTTTGTGACTTTGACTATCAAGTTATTAAAAAGAGTACACGTTTTAGATATCTTGGGTATGTTGTTCAAAGTGATGATGAAATAGAACGTGATATTATTAGTGTAATTCAAATTGGATGGTAAAGTGGAGGAATGCATTGAGTCTGTTGTGTGATTGAAATGCATCCCTCAAATTTAAGGAAAAATTTCATAAGATGATGGTGAAACCTGCAATACTTTATGGCGCAGAATGTTGACCATTAAAAGAGAACCATAAAATTATGTTAAGTGTTGCAGAGATGAGAATGCTCATGTGCATGTGTGGTTTCACTCTTAGGGACAGAATGTGAAACAAATATATATGTGAAAAGGTTAGAGTAGATCCAGTTGCAAATAAGATTAGAGTGAGTCGCCTTAGATGATTTGGTCATATAAAACATCAGCCTTTTCAATGACCCTGTTAAGAGAGTAGATGTATTGGATTTGACCTATCTTAAGAACAGTATACGTAGACCTAATAAGACTTGGTTAGAAAGTATTGAGATGACTTTTTTTTTTATTAGTCGTAAATGAGAATCTGACTTTTAATACGAGACAATGGAGAAAAATGATTCATGTAGCCGACCCCTCATAGTGGGATAAAGGCTTAATGTTATTTTTATATCTATATACATTTCTTGAGTTAGCTGCATCCTTAGCTTTACTTAACTTTAATATATACTTCTAACTAGATTTTTTAGTTCATTGAATGCCATAGTAATCGAAAGTTGGTTTGTGGTGTGCAGTCTATAATATTAAATTATCTTTAGTTTGTGGAATGATTAATTGTCTAATCGATCGGTACATTTTGTTGCCATCTACTTTGTTCTAGATTTTTTTATGCTTACCAACATCTTTTTTAATATCGTTTCGGACACGCCTCTTTTTCCCAATTTGAAAAGTTTAATTTTATTTTCCTCACTGCAGGCATTGATAGACTCAACAAGTTCTGAAAGTTCTCTGGATGAAGAGATTGGTGTTAGAATGGTGGCACTGTTTGATCATGAGGAGGTTGGATCGAACTCAGCTCAAGGAGCTGGTTCTCCTGTGATGTTGGATGCCTTGTCCAGAATTACAAATTCTTTCAACTCTTCAAACACCAAGGTAGAAATAGAAATCAATTATACATGCCACTTTTTTACTACATATAAAACTTAGTATTTACCTGTCTGGTTAGTTGTTTTACATACTTTTTTTTCATGCTTCATTAATCCTTTAATCTTTCTCTTTCAGTTAGTTGACAAAGCAATCCAGCAAAGTTTCCTTGTCTCTGCAGACATGGCGCATGCCATACATCCCAACTATATGGTAAATCATATTTCTAGTTCTTGATGTCGCTTGTTATATATGCTGCAATAAAATAAAGTTCAAGATTGTTAGGCTTGGTCCATTGGGAACTTGCGGCATCTTTCTTGCATTTCAACCTTTTTGATTGTTTTGTTGCCATTACGTGCGTTGCTATCTGAACCACTTAGGTTTCGTTTGGGACGGCTTTCTTAAAATTTTTGCGCTAGAAAATAGCTTTAAAAAGCAATAAGAAAACCGTCCTAAACGAAGCCTTATTATTATTTTTATTTTCTTTTCATGCTCCCTGATTCTCTTACCAGGACAAACATGAGGATAATCATCAACCTAAGTTGCACGGTGGGCTTGTGATAAAGCACAATGCTAATCAGAGATATGCGACGAATGCCATCACATCATTTATATTTAGAGAGATTGCTGAAAAACATGATTTGCCCATTCAGGTAAGCACATTCTAAAATCGAAGATAGAAGGTATTGGCCTAATCGTTTTGATTGACATTTTAATGCGCTAAATAATATACTGTTTTTTCTATCGAGTTCTGTAGAAGAATATGATCCAGTTGGTGGTTGATTAAATTATATATTAATAAACAAGAAGTTTGGATCCAGAGATGTAGTCTTGTAGTTGTAGATCTTTCTTACGTGCTTATTGCTAATGACAACGTTTTAACTTGCTTAATCCCTTATCCACTTCTCTTCTGATCCTGCATGACATCCATGCTTCCTTATAGATTAGCAGTTGCTTCACTATAGAAATCAAGTCCTTTTCCTGGGAAACAATAATCTGTAACGGTAGAGACTTTCTGCTATTATCTAGATTATAGTTGTAAAACAGTAATAGGAAATACTTGAGTTCTCAAGTAATCCTAATGGGAAATACTTGAGTTCGCAAGCAAACCTAACAATAATCAGTAAAACAGCGAGAAAATGGAAGAAAGTATGGTGGAAAAAAAATCAAATGATAGATAATCTTATAGAAAGCAAAGCGAAACAAGAACGAAGCAAAGATACAATCGATCCTCAATTCAGAAGGAGGATCGTTCTCTCCCAATCTCTAGATGATGAATCTAGAGCCCAAAACCCTAAGAGAACTCCAAGAGAATAACTCCAATGCATGCATGCCCTAACCCTAGCCTCCTCTCCTCTTTTAATACAAATCTTCTTAATAAAAGCTAATAAAATATTTCCTAAAAAAATTATTAATTCAAATAGTTTCTGATTGCCTTTTCCCTCTCTCCTTGCAGCCCTAGGGGGGCCCACATGAGTGAACTTTTATTAGGTCCTATGACCGGACGTAGAGCTACGTTCGGCTGCCAATAACATGTCTCCACGTGCTCTTACTCTTTACCGCGCGGCCCGACGACTTGACCCGGACCGAAACCCGGGATTGCTATGTTCGCGTATTACTAGGTATTACTTGGTATTTGCTCAGTATTGCTAGGTATTGCTTGGCAATAACGAGAAATACCGAGTTTTTCTCAGTATTTGCTCGGTATTTGTCTTCACATAATGATATTTCTCATTATTGCCGAGAAAAATCTACCAATACCCTAATAATACCGAGCAATACCTAGCAATACCGGGTTGTCATGGATTTAAAATACTCACGTGTGACATACCCACTATTCGTCGGGTCGGGTCCGCGGTTTTGTGCCTGCTACGTGGCGCGATCTCAGTGCTGGCCGAATGTAGCTCTACGTTCGTTCACCGGACCAAATAAAAGTTCCACATGAGTGGGCTGCCATCAAAAGAGGCATTTTAGCCCGCCTCCTATTAGTGTGAACCGGCACCACCTGGGCCGGTTTGGACGGTTCTGGTGGACGGTTCTGGCAGAACCGTAACAAAAACTTTCCCTTGAAACTAGAATAATAAGCAAACTTAATTGGTAACTGGCTTATAATCTCTTCGGTTCTCCTCCTTAGCTTAAACCAGGCATTTTTTTGTGTGAATCATGAAATTTTCTTATCCTGACACACCATAAAGGCAGCAAACCGCTTATCCGGATTGTCATTTTCATAAGGTGGTCTCGATGCCAGCTGAGGTTTCGTTTGTGATGAATTTCTTGCTGCTTTTTAAAATAATTTTTTAATACAAAATTTTTACTTTTTATACTAGAAAGCTGCTTTAAGAAACAGTAAGAAAGCCATCCCAAATAAAGTTTGAGTTGCTTAAATATTGATAATGACGATGATGATGATGATGATGATGATGATACTGCTATGCAATGCAGGATTTCGTGGTCCGGAATGACATGCCATGTGGTTCTACCATAGGCCCCATACTTGCAAGTGGCGTTGGAATCAGGACCGTTGATGTTGGTGCACCTCAACTATCAATGCATAGCATAAGAGAGATGTGTGCGGTGGATGATGCAAAGCACTCCTACGAGCATTTCAAGGCCTTCCTCAATGAGTTCACTCTACTTGATTCACGGATTAAAGTGGATTTCTAGCTTCTCATTTTCCTATGTCAATAGGATACTTGCTAATGATTTCTTTAAATATATAGACTTTTGGTTGAATGTACAACAAGAAAGAAGGTTTGTTAGTGTTACAATGATTTAAGGATTTTACTTGAACAGAAATGTCTTTTGCCGTTGAACTGAAGGATTTGTTGCATTTCATAATGGGTATTTTGATTATGCTATGTCCTCTATAGTAGGGAAAATTATGTTGTGCGGACATTAGATGGCATCCGAAAATCAATAAGAATGCGTTACATCACTTTTTTGCTCGGTACTGTTGTGTACCGGTGATGTTGCGCGTTATGTTTGATCTCCAAGCCGTCCGATTTCTACACAAAATAGATTCTCCTGAAGAATCATGGAGGTGCATTTACAGCTTCAAGACAACACAACATTACTTTGCAGACATTTCTTTTTGGTTATAATATTGTTATTTTTTATCAGATTTTTTGTGATAAGAATCTTTTCATACTTATATCTTTTAATATGGTAGTTATAATAACCAAGTTGTTTGATTTTTTTAGAATTTTTTTTTTAAATACTAGAATTTAAAAAATTGTCTTTTACAGTTATTTGATAATTAATTTTATGGAAAGATGCAATCGCCCCAAAAGATAGCTTAGCAAAATATTGGATGGGTATTAAAGATAAGTTGTACCTACATTGTAGATATCATTCTAGAATTTGGGAAAAAATTTATTATTTGAATAAAAAAATTAAAATAGATAATTTATTTTTGATATTGCCAAAATGAGATATTTGAGTGTTTTTCAAGAATGAAAGTAATATGTAAAACGCGTTTTATCGAATTTCTTCTGGCAAAGGTTCATGATTTTTTCCTGAACTTCTGATAATAATAAAATTTAAAATAATACTTTTTGTATCATATAAGTACAATAAACTAATTTGCTATGTTAAGATGTTCAATACATATGATTTTAATTGTTTTTTTTCTAAATCAAAATTATGATATTTGATTTTTTTTTTAATGGAATTGATGAAATTATGCTATTAATGAGTTTGGCTAGTGATGGCGGGAGGTAGTTGTCGGTGGTCGTTAGTGGTAAAGCAAACGAGCAACCAGTGTAAATCGTTCTAGGCCAAAATGGGTGAGAACGCTTTACCTAAAAAATGAACAAAATAAAATACACTGCATTTACTTTGGATTTGCTTTAGAAATGCAATGCATTCACTTTTCTTCCAAAATTATAGCTGCTTGAAACTCTCTGAAAATTGACAAGGATTCCTCCAAAAATTCTGGATTCCACATTCGAATATTATTCAGTCATAATTCAGAAGGAAAAAGCAAAGAATAACATAAATGATGAAAAGATATGACCAGAGTTTTTGGTTCAACTATCATACTTGTTTAAAATTTTTGTTCATTCAGATAGGAGATTACACGCTCAGCCGCTTGCAGACCCGAATATAAGCATTTATCAACAGACAAACCACCCTTATTGTTACCTGCGCAAATGATACTAACGTTGATGGCAACATATGAACGAGAAAATGACACATACAGATAGAATTGATATGGCTTCACCAAATCAGAAATAAGATTACATGTTATAAACAATTTCAGAAAGAATGCAAGAAATAGAAAGAATGTTTGGTTAGGAATGAGAGTATCATCAAGTGAAGCCATGGGAGCAAAAAATAGCTTTGATGATTTGGGCATGTAAAAAATACATGATGCATTAATAACATAGATAGATAAAATTAATTTTGTTTGATTAAAGCAAAAAAGTAGACCAATAATAATTTGAAAAATAATAATAATAATACACATTTAGATTGCATAAATTAGGTTTAAGATTGAAGCGATACTCAACCGAAATGAAAAATAATGAGGATTCATAAAGTCAGCTCCAAATAATTGAGATAAGGCTAATAACGATGATGATGATGTGCATCAACATGCGGAAGAACCTAAATGGTGTTTGAAATGACATTTGGTGTGTACAAATTTAGATTTTAGTCACTCATAAAGCAGGGAGAGAAAACCACGAGGAATCTCATGATTTTAAAAGTATGCTGAGTTGTTTTAAATAAGTGTGGTGAAAAAGGTCATATAATGCTTCGGCAGTTGTGCATTACTTTATCTGACAACCGGAGATACTAGTCCATGCAACATTTGTAGGATACACCATGGATCTCAACTATAGATTGTGAAATGCTTGATGATGAATATTTTGGTCTAAAGGGAAAAAAAATGCTAGATTATTAAGTAAACGCAAGCAGCACATTTTCCGAAACGAATGAGATTACAACTTGCCTGCATAAAAGAATCCTGGAAGCTTTTTCTCCATCTTTTCTATGGCTTCTAGAACTAAGTCATAATCTAGACCATACAAGGGAAAAGCTTTCTTCCAATAGATATGCCTGAAATTTGGTAAGATAGTAACCTCATCAAATTTACACAATACAAAAGACAGGACATCATGAAGAAAAATTCAAACTTAAACAAGATGCTCACATCACTTTAAGAAAAGACATAAAACCAAGACTGCAATAAATATTCTCCATACCTCATAAATGTTGGTTGTCCTTCTACACCCAAAAGCTTCCTAAGGTCAGCAGTCACAACTTCTTGTATCTCATTTCTACATAACATGTTCCATATACACGAAATTATAATTACTTCAACTAAAATCAGGAGATACATTTGCAAAAATATAAGAAACAATTATGGCTCATACAATGAAGCTCCAGCTAGATTCCTGTTCCGACTACCCCCAACAAATGTGGTATATAAATACTGATTTTTTGGAGCACGATCTGGGAACATCATGGATGAAAATAGGGTACCTGAAAGAAAATAAAAATTAAATTTCCTTTGTTAAGATCATACGAGAAGTTGGCAGAAGATGAGGTTTCCGACAATCACTCGATGGAAAGAAAAAAAAAAAAGATCAACTACTTGAGTTAATATTTTATCTACAATTCATTTATTTACCAAGGGTCTTCAAACCATTTTCTTGTTCTTTGGAAGGCACAAGAACTCCAAACCCTTCTAAGGGCCTTTTCACACACTCCTTTTTGAAGGCTGTGATCATGACTGATACGGGTACATAGTTCACCTGCACAGCAGTGGCAGGAGATAAATAAAGAGCAAATATCTTCCAGGTGAACCCAGAAGTCAACAGAGATTGAATAAAACTGCTAACGATCAATGATTTTATATCTAAGCGCCAATAATAACTGTTCTCAGGGTTAATCACATTAGCATGGCCTTCCCTTTCCTCACTTACACAGATGTGTTCACAACATAAAGTGATGCGGTGCAGCATAACCGTTACTTTCCTACGGTTCATTTTATCACTCATTGCTTATGATTTACTGTTAGGATGTTTTAGTACCCCTCTTTTAGTTTCTATTTACAGACGTAGAGTAACGGCGTAGCTTTTCTTGGAATGGCTATTTTTAGCAAGAGAATGAGTTCTCGTATATCTTCTTCCAGGGAAGAAGAAAATAGCATAGTTTTAATAATATATTTTTCTACAGTTATCAATGTTTCTCTGTTTGTTCTTTGTGCTACCTCCTTCTTCCATAGCATACCACATCATAAAGTAAGAGTCAAGGTGAAGAAAAATACCTTGGGGAGGAAATCAAGGTTGAAAGGATTTCCTCTTTCTTTGAATTTCATCTCTTGAACATCACATAATGGAGCCTACAAAAAGAAAAAAAAATCAATGCTTCACCACTTTTGAATAATGGTTCAGAAGAAATTACTTTTGAGTTGATTAATTTAGAAACTTACATATATGAAAATGTACGTGTATAAAAAATTTGTTTCAAGAGCAAACTAAATGATAGAATTGAACTTTGATAATAAAGCATATACTAAGGAAACAAATAGTAAGTTTTTATCAGATATTTAACAAGTTATAATCAAAGATAGCTTCCTTGAATATGTAGCAAAGATCAATTACCGTCATTATGACTGCATCAAATACTTGGCTTTTCATAAGATCCGAGTCATTAACATGGTTTGCAGCATAAGAAATAGACCAACCATTGCATGGAGAATCTCCAACAGAGTCATAAGATAGTGATAACACTTTGGAGTTTAGTTTCAAACTTTCCCCACCAACCTTGCAGCTTAGTATATTCGTGAGTGTCTACAAAGCAAGAAGTTACAGGTTAAAGCATATAATATATACTAGATGCCATCGAGAGAAACTACTTGGGCAGATGGTCCAACAATTCCATTGAAGAGATTGCAGGTAGAAGAAGCTTGGTGTGAAGTACTCTAGATAAATTAACGGACTAGATTATTTCAACATCAAACCCTACAGTAGAGATTATAAATAATATAACATCCTAGATTTGAAGCTTGATAAAATTTCTTCCCATTATTGAGATGATATGTTGATTTGTATAGGGATTTCCCTTTTACAATATTAGATTTATTTATTCTGCACTCTTACGTGCATTCTTAAGAAAGAAATTTTGTTTGATATAACAAGCTAGCATGAAAAAGTTATTCTGGATCGTGAATTTGCCTCTCCTAATTTCTTATAGTTTCAACACAAGCATTTGTAGTGATAATACATAAAATATTTATCTGTATTTTACATCAAAATCATCGGGAAAGAGCATTACGCTTCACATTAATAAATTAAGTTTAGCAATATCCCGTATAACATTTATGCTCAAAAGAGTACAAATTGTCAATGTGACAATGAGGCATGGTCGCAATATTTCAAAGTAGCAACAGGAGGCTCCAATTTCCTGAAAAAGTTTCATCTCCGAATAATAATGGTATGAATCAAGATGAGAGAAGGGGAACGATTGTCATCAGTTTCTCATGTTCAAGATTAGTCTGCAACAAAACAGATGAATGATTGGAGTGCGTAAAGGCTAACAAATAACCACTCAGGCATCCATCAAATAATCATAAAAGGTTAAGCTATCATAATTTAAAATGTTAGGTTCCATTTTGGTTATTCAGAAAAGATGCAGATTACAAGAAAGCAAATAATAGATAACATCACCTGCATTCCACCATGAAATGAAAATGAACCTCTCTGGTGCTTTTTCTTATCCGAAGAACTTCTACTTGGAACATTATCCTTGGGTTTTCCAGAAGCCTTAGATCGAATTGCCCCAACTATGACTGAACCAAACCTGAAGAGAAAAAAAAAATTTGTCTAAGTTTCTGACCACTGGTCAAAAAATGTTCTTTCGTGTCCATCTCAAGGAAAGATGAAGTTTAGTTGACAAGTTCAAACAAACATCTAAAGATATAAATTGTTTGATGAAGAAATAATGACAACAGTCTCAACATAGAAAAAAAAAGTTCTCACTTGGTCATTTCACATCATAAACTTTTTATTATCTTTTGCCATTTCAATTATCATAAATTGATTGTCATCTTATATAGTTAGCATCCAGTCTTAGAAATCTTTTGCTCAACATAGTATTGCAAAGTTTCAGAACTGACCTGAACAGGCAGGATTAGATCGGTTAATGCACACTCTTTCCTTAACCTTAGGCCTTGGCTAGCAGGGAAACGGAGGTAGGTCCAGTTCAGCTAATAAGCCTGGTGAACATGGTACACCGGTTGCACTAAATTTACAGATTTGTTCCATGACAATGACCTCTCAGTTGGTCTGCTTTAATGTCACAATGTTTAGTTGATAAGGTCAACTGTGTCTCATCTTTTTATTTGTCCCAACTACAATTGTGTTTTTGATAAGATTTATAATCATTTTACATTCGTATTAACTGACATGCTAGTATACTCACACCAATCATGACATTACACAGCCTAGGAACCTAAATTTACTCCACTAAATTGGAACATTCTTAAGGCTTCTTTAGTTCATCTAAGTATAGACAGGGGAGATTGTACGTACATTAAAATGGATGCAATTGCACCCCTTAAAATATTGCTTTTTTTTTTTAATTCAAGTTAATTCACTCATGATAATGACATCTTAATTATCATTATCATACCAACTCAGCTCTCTGACATGTCGTGCAGCTCCTCTCCAAGTCTTGGTACTAATAGCACTCCCCACTTCCCACAATACCTCATCCGATCTCTCCTACCTCATCCGCTTTCTCTAAAAACAAAATCTTCTCTCTCTCTCTCTCTCTTATAAAATGCATAGAGCTCATAATTCATATTGCCTCCACAATCAGAATTAAACTATACAGGGATTTTAGCTCATAATTCATGCTCTATGTCAACATCCAGCTCCAAAACCTCCAGATTATCCAATCACAAACAAGCCCATTAGTCCTTCATGATGTGGTCATCGAACAAATCATGACCACCCGACTAAAGTGCTTGCATACTTCCAAGCATGCTTATAGCTGTGCATGACCCAGCTCCAACTCCACTGCCACAATCCGACTCTTCTATAATGAGTTTCATTTAGCCCAAAAAACAAGACAAGCACGATTTTTAGATTATTTTCAACATATAAAAATTTAAAAATGTGCTTATTTGATTTTCATGTGCAACATTTTCCACATTAAATTTTAAGTGAGTCTCTTTAATTTTCACATGTTTTAAATTTGATAAGCACACATTATTACATTTATTTTCTTTCTTAAAAAGTTTAATATAGTTTGCAAATGTATTATGAACCATAGTCAATATAAGTGTAATTATGAGAAGATTCGTCTTGCATTTCGATGTTCGATTGAGAATAATTCAATGAAAAAAAGGAGTTGTCGTGGCTCCTCTTTTGTGTTTCTTTATTTGATATCTATTTTGATACTATATCAAGAAATGATACATGACAAGCATGAACATTGAATATTTTTTTATACAACGCCAACAAACATTAAGCCTTTATCCCACTACATGGGGTCGGCTACATTAATATTTTTTTCTCCATTGTGTCATGTCAACAATCAAATTTTCATTTAAATCTAAGAAAAGTTAATTTCTAATGTTTTCTAATCTCTCTTATATAAGTCAAATCTAATACATCTACACTCTTAATCAAGTCATCAGAAGGACGACGTTTTATGTGACCAAGCCATTTAAGGTGACTCTCTAATTTCTCATCTGCCACTGGAGCTAATCCAACCTTTTCATGTGTATGCTCATTTCACATTGTCTCTAAGAGTAAAGCCACTCATCCACCTGAGCATTCTAGTTTTGTACGAAGATTCAACACACAGATAAAAGAGAAGGTGCAACAATCATAAGGCATAGCTTAAATTGTATGTAGAAAACATTGAAAAATGAAAAAAAAAAACACAGGGTCTTGCTCAATTTAAATGATTTCACTAGTGTTTGTAGTTCCTTACAAATGATGCATTCATCGGAAGAAGGTGTTGGCACAATGTAGCATATATATATATATATATTGGTCTTAGGATCTTAGATGATGAGCGAAGGAGGTCAGAAGGACCATTGTTAGGCAACCATGGTTAGAGACTATAATCGACGGGCGACAAAAGTAAGAAGAACTGTAGTAGTTCGAATAGTCATCGGAGGATAGTTGTCGACAGACAACTGAGGTTGGAAGGATCAAAATCGAGCAAAATTTATCCGAGAACCGTAGTCTGCGGGTGACGGAGGGCAAAAGAACTGTGGTCGGGCGGCGGTAGCCTGAAGACTGTAGTTGAGTGACTGTGGTTCAAGGACGTTAGTTGGCGAGCAACTAAGGCCCGAGGAATGTAGTCAAGAGAAGGTGGTCCAAGAATCGTAGTCAGCAAGCGGCCAAGCAACGTAGGTCGAAAGGACAATAGTAGGTCGATAGTGGTCTGAGGACCATAGTTGGCAAACGACAGAGGTCAAAAAGACTATAGTCAAATGAAGTAGGCCAAAGGGACCGTAATTGGGCCACCATAGCAACAGTGGTCTAAGAATTGTAGTTGGATAATGGTAGTCTGAGAACGGTAGTTTGAGGACTGTAGTTTGAAGGACCGCGATCAGGTGAAGATGGCCCGAGAATCGTAGTCGGGCGACAGTGATCCGAGGAACGTAGTTTGTGGGCCAGAGAGGTAGGAATGACTGTAGTCGGGCGATGGTGATCGGGGGCCTGTAGCCTGTCGACGATGGTCCGAGGGTCGTAGTCAGGTAGTTATGTAAGGTCGAAAGTACCGTAGTCGAGTGACAGTGATCTGAGGACCATAGTTGGGTCTGACGGCTACAAGTGTTCGTCGATGGGGTGTTCCAGTGGATCTCCAAGATTCTTCAAGCTTCAAAGCTCTCTTGAATTTTTAACCCAAGATCTTCACCTTCTCCATGTGAAGAGGGGGAGGTTATTTAAAAATTTTTGGGAGTGACATGCTCCGTAAATATGAAGAAGATCCGAAGAAAATTCTAAATGTGTAATCAGACGGCACATATTGATCCCCTCGATCATAGAGCTTTTGTTTAGCATTAAAGTACCTTAATAATATCAGAATTCAGCAATCGACTACCTTTCTCTCTCTCTCTTATATCAGAATTCAGCAATCGATATCTACCTCTCTCTCTCTCTCTTATATATATATATATATATATAGAGAGAGAGAGAGAGAGAGAGAGAGAGAGAGAGAGAGAGAGAGAGAGAGAAGATGTATAAGCCCATGTTAAAATTTCAATATAGCATTTTCTACACTTGAGATAGGGATAGAAAGAAAGAGAGATAGAAGAGGAGCTTCACCGTTCATTATTTCATTTAATCATTCAGTCTCAATCAAGCGCCCTAATACAAGGCTACAACCCGTTATATATAAACTAGGGAGTTAAACTTTAAGGAAATAAACACTATAATGTGTTCTTATAGCATATATAAGAGATATTTAAAACGTGTTTAAATTAAATAGACATCAGGTTAAAATTTAATATAAAAATAAACTGACGACCATATTTATCTTGCATCAACCTCTAAGTATTTCCAAAATCAAAATTTCACACGTTGCGTTCTCAAACTTATTCACATTGAACAATTTTTAATGTACTTACTTTCTTGCATCCATTATTATTATTATTCAAATTCACAGAATACATTAATTTCAATTAACATAATTATAAATTATCATGATGTGCAAACATAAATCCTATTTTTTATATTTTTTCTAATTCCTTTAATGTTAGTGATGAATCAGGAAAAATTTAACAGTTTTTAAAATATATATAGTTGTGATTGTTTCATAGATATAAAAAATTATTGAAATCAATTGTAACATATTTTCTTGTATTTAGAGTTATCTTAGATTTAGTGCTTTCATGTTTTATAAAGGCATATATCATCCATAAACATGGTGGATCTTGGCTCCTCCATTATAGAGGGAAGCACCGAAAAGGTAAAAAGGAGAAAGCACACAGTAGAACATTTAAATCAAAATTATGATAGACAATGAAAGTAGCAGGGAAACGAGAGTAGAAATATTCAGTTGTGATAATATTCTATTAATCCTCATCATAACCATAATGCTACTACTTGAAGTGATATTACTACAGGTCTATAACATCATCATAGTCAGCATCATTCAATATAGATATATCTTAAACTTGCCATATTTTCTCTATTCAGTGAAGGTCAGTCAATAGATATTCCAAAATAAAACCACAACATATTTTCATTTGATTAGAAGTAACCTGGTTGAACATCAGACTTCGCAATAAAATTAAAGAAGACTACTCTTTTCGCATGCCTTTCTTATAAGGAATCATGGCAAAGAAAGAAGTCATAAAGACATACCCAAATGGCCAGATATTGCTTATGAGCTAACCATTTGTCCAACTCAATTTTCGGATTAACAGATTATAAGCTTAGAACCAAACTAATTTCTTTTGATAAGATCTCTGGCATTCTTTAGGAAACAAACAAAAAAATATCTGAACAGAGAAACTTACTTTTTTTCTAAATTCCATAACTGTGGAAATGCATGACGCATCTGCAAACATGAAACAATTTAATAATCATAGAAGGCTATTGACAGATTCTTACAACAACACTATACAAGTTCCACAAAATTATGATGACACATCATGGCAGTAAAACCTCAAAAAAAGGGGAAAAAAAGGATCCATGAGTAACCAAACAGATATTCAATTCCAGAAGTATGATGTAAATGAATGCAGTACGGCTGAATGTAATCTTATACAAGTTGGTTCATTAATTTTCTTAGAGTTCGAGCAAAATTTGACAATGACATAAGTTTTAAAATCTAGTTGAAGCTTGCATATTTATTTTCTTATGGAGTTCAGGTCCGAATCAACCTTAACTAACTCTATGTAGATACTAAGATTTAAATATATAGCCTTATTATAAAATATATATGCATTCTTAATTTTTCAACCAAAATTAACTAAATTCAATAGCTAGTATGCTAATAAGTTGTGAAGCACACATGTCAAAAAGAAATTAAGGATTATTTTGGTATCTCAATTCCTTAAAAAGGAACCAAAATAGTTCCACTATGAGATTACTTTGATTCTTTTTTAAAGATTTAAGGGACCAAAATGATCTTTTAATTCAGTTGAGGACTATTTTGATCATTCATAAAAAGTCAAGGGACTATTTTGATCATTTTATCTTTTTTTTTATCATACTTATATCTTATAAATGTGCATAATTTCTGAAGTTCATAAGAAATAAAAAAAGTAGATACAGGAACATAGAATAAGTAATTAAAAAAATAGTGAAGTCATTATTAAATGAGCATTTTATCATGCTGAGTTACTTGTAGAACATTAAATAAGCATGACCACAAATATAAATGAATGAGTGGGTCAATGTTCAAAAATGCTCATTTAAATATTGACCTTTAAAATCTTTAGAAACAAATACAAATAAACCTTATATCCACAAATATTAAGTCGTTCAGCAAGCGAATTAGTTCACTGATAGCCCCATCTAGAAGTCTTGAAGCAAAAAAAAAAAAAAGTTAAAAAAATAAATTTAAAGCAACAAACATCTTCAGCCAAAATCTAGTGGCAGTAATCATTTTAAACATGGAAATAACACGGGTGCTCACAGAGAGAGATTCAGGATCGCTAGCACTGGTACCAGCCACAAAAGGGTCAATCAGATAATCAACCACCTATACTGGGAAAACAGAATGACTTGGTAAGCACATCACTACAATTTCATTCAACATGAAAATTAAATTATTAACGTTGGAAACAGTAAAAAAGGGATAAGATAAGCCGATGCTTATTTAACTTCCCAAAAAGGTCCACACACCTCAGTTCCAAAGTGGCGTTTAAAGAACTGGCCCACGCTGAAAGGATAAAATAAAAGACATGTTCAAGTCATTATTAAAATCAAAATTTTACATCATTTCCAGCTGAATAATCATATTATAAATTTTCAGAACATGGTTTTGATGCTCAATATATATAATCCTCCTTTCCGATCTGTATGCTGCTTGAATTCTCACTCCAGAATCTTATTATATTCATTTATTGCTGCCATTACATTTCCCATCTATGAAATCTTTAATTTCTTTTCAGGAGACCCAATTATCATGAATAATGAGAACCAAAACAATCCAACCAAGGGAGAATTTCAGAGTATGCAAGCTTCATTCTGACTAAATGAAAGAAATAATGTGAAGTGGTTTCAAATTGTGAAAAAAAAAAAATTGAAAGGAAAAGGGAAACTCAACTAATTGATAAATATTCCACCAATTCTTAAAGATCCAAAGTCCACACTTTGGGATGAAAATAATTCTATGATTATGAAATGGATACAAAACTCCATGATATGGAAGTAGACCTTAGATATTCCTAATAACAACAAATAAAGTTAGGGCTGTTGAGATACAAATCTACTTATAGATCAAGATATATATATATATATATATATATATATAAATTATATATATATATATATATATAAATATGTATATGAGATCAAGACAAAACTCTCGACTACCAAAAAAAGAAACATGTCTATTATAGAATACTTCAATGCAATGGAAAAATTTTAGTTGGAGTTAAATCACTATAAGGATTTCAAGACTAAACTTAAATAGCATGTAGAAAAAAGATGAAATATCTAAATTCCTTGAAGGTTTTAGCATCGTTTGACCAAGTTCATTTCTAAATCTTTGGAAAAGAAGTTCTAGCATTATTCAATGAAGATTTATCCCTAGTAAGGGTTGAGGAAGGGTAAAAAACATACATGTTGGAAGCACCAAGCTTAGAAGGATTGACCACGACGACCACAAAAGGAAAAATTCAAGAAGAATAACTTAAAGTCATTGAACAAACCAAGAATAAATGATTCATGCCATATTCATTGAACAAAATTTATGCTGGCTATCGACAACCTAACGCAATCATCCACTTTTCTCATCCAGGATTTGGGACTTGACAAACCAAGAATGAAGACAAAAAATTTATCATAAAGACAACCATGATGTAACTATTGTAAGAAGGGGCATACCAAAAATAATAATGGGAACTTAATGAAAAACTCAAAAACCTCAAGGTTGTGGTAGGGAATACAAAGGAAACACGTCAAAGGATCTAACTCATTACACAAAATTGAGAGGGCTCAACACAAAAGAAATCAACATCCTAAGAAATTAAATTCTCAATAAAAATTCCCATAGCTAATCATTAAGAACAATAAATGTCTAATACTATAAGTGATTCTATTGAAGCAAACACTCCTATTTAGCCAATACAAGTCTATAAAATAAGGCCACAAACTATCTGAACTCTAGGCCAAGCTAAGACTCAAAACTTGCATAGGATTTGTTGACAGGAGTCCTCAAAACTTGTTGATGATGAGTTCTTTGACAAGCATGCTTGTCTCAAAATTTTTAATATTTTACATTGCCGATGCATCATTTAGCACACTTCTTATACATTATTTTACTCATTTTCTTTCATAAGTTCACTTGTATCCATGTTCTCAAAGGTGACAAGTTATAATTGAAGCTCACGTAACAATGTTCTTGTTCTTTTTTATTCACAAATTTGTATGAGATTATTTGTTTTGTCTTTTTTTTTTCTAGCATTCCCTTTTTCATTGTTTAAATTTTTTTTGGGTGAATTTTAGGAAGCTTTTGCATCCATCTTCCCTTTTTTTCCTACGAAGGGTAGCAAAAGTGGACCATCTTGATAAGCCACTAAAGGAAATGCTTTGGACCCCGCCTCCTCCTTCCCACAACAGCCAAAAATCACATCCCACTAAACCATTAAAGGTATTTAAGGGCATTTGTGTGGCGTATTTTATACACGAAATCACATAAAATCTATTGAAAAAAGGTTCCTAGCATAACAAAATGACATGAATGAGTAACCTGTGATGAGCTCAAAGTCTATCTCTCATTTATGATCATTGTCACAAGGTATTTGTGACAGAACGAGCAAAAAAGTGAGCAAGTGAGAGGGAAATAGAGAGTTGGAGGGAAAGAAACAAAAGGACGTTCGGGTGCTAAGTGCAAAAAAGAAAGAAACCTATGGGCAATGTGGAGATGAGCTTTTAAACTTAAAAAAAAACTACTAAAGGAGGCCATCCAACTCCCTATGCACTTGCTGAACGTTGAACCCCCCTCCCCTCCTCTTTTCAATTCATGTATTTTTATATAAATAATGGGGGTATATACCTTCATACATATTTATGCATCACCACCAGCAGATGACTACTTTTTGAGGGCATCTAAAGATATGCCATTCACCTTTTTTTTTCTTCTTTCTGTTTTTAAATGTGGGCAAGCTATATACAACTTATTTACAATGTCAATGTGACATCATTGGATGGTATAGGGCATTGTTGCCTGTGTCCAACTATGATGCCGTTTTATATATATTGTTGACCATCTGAGCCACCATTGGTAACATTTAGGGTTTTGAAAGTACGATCTTATCAACTAATCGTCCTGTGAAGGTGACGATTCGGGTTAGGGCAATGAATTTGAACCATTGTCATAGTGAAGTGTCAGATTTGTTAGGCCATGAATGATTTTGAATTCATGCATCGCATAGCATAGAAAGTTGCAAAATTTTAATAACCAACTTGATGCTAATGGTTGAAGACAATAAGTTACAAGTCTGGGCTAGGTTAATTGTCAAAATAACTTTTATACTCTATGGTAAATTTCATCTAATTTTTATGTATGGCTCGGAGTTAATCTTACCATGCGAAATTATTTATGATAATATACATACAAGGAAAAAATAATTGTTTCTGGAGCTCAAGAAAGATGAGCAAAATTTTTAAAAAAAGAAAAAAAAAAACAAAAATATTGAGGAAAATTATTCAGATATCACTTGGTTAAAATTCAATGTGGCATGCCAAGAGAAAAACCATAAAAAAAAAAAAAGCAAAACAATCTATATTTCTAAAAGCACGTACCACCAAACTATCATGAGAGACGTTACCTTTCTTGTATTACTGTATCACACACCTTCATGGAACTTCTTTTATCAGAATGCCACCATGATAATGGTTCCAATAGGATCTTCAACTGCAACAACAAATAATTGTAATGCAATTCACAGTGGGTGAGCAACCAATGAAGAAGAAATGGAAGCAAATTTTCAATGGAGTCTAAGGCTTTGTTTGGGACGGCTTTTTTGCTGCTTCTTAAAGTGATTTTTTATTATAAAAATTAAAATTTTTATACTAGAAAGCTGCTTTAAGCAGCAACAAGAAAGTTGTCCCAAACGAAGTCTACATCAGAATATTGTTGATTATGGACGTCTGAATGAAACATGGTCAAAAAGAGCATGACCTTCCATTCATAATGGAGAGGATTTTCCAATAACTTACAAAATAAACAACTCAAGTTATTTCCTTTTGTATTTTAACTAACAATTCTGCTATTAAAAAAAGTCAATCTTCAATGTGAATGTCCATCGTTAACTACAAAATTTTCAAAGTGAATGTTCATCATTAACTCCTATGCTTAAGAAATTCAAATGTTAGGATTACAACAAACGCTATGACTTTGAATTGCAAAGTTATGTGACATTCAAATGCTAAGATTACCATGCATAACTTTGTATTGCAGAGTTATGCCTAATGATATGATCTTTCCTCATAATGATTATGATATCAATTTTATGTCAATTGCCATTGTGATTAAATAGTTTATGCCATGCAATTGATTATTATTCTAATGATATGCTTATCTATAGATTTGCTTTTCTACTGCAATGTACAAGGATTAGCATGCATATTGATTCTTCACTTTATGTTTACTGTTATATTGAATTGTGATATAGTAATAAGTTATATATATATATAATTCACCCACTACTTGATGAGTATTTTTCAGGAAGATCGTCTATGAAATATATGAGTCATAGAAGAGATTTTATCTACAGCTAGCTGATGTGGAGCCCTTCTGGTCAGATATTTTTGTAAATACGGAAAATGCACTAGTCAATATTGAATATCTTTACCAAAAACTGAAACGGGTGAAATCTAAGACACCGAAATGCATGCCAGTACAGTAGAACAAAATAAAGTGATATCACAATAGTTCAATAGCATGGGTGCTGAATACTGTGCCAATAGTGTACGAGCTAAAATTGGTTCATACAAAGAAATTGAATATAGTAATGAGTTTATGTATAAGCAGTGCATTTTTATTGAGAACTGAAAAATGTAAGATCAGTTTTTTCATTTTCTAAGAAAAATTGCAAATGATAACTAGAGTTCTATTGCAAGTGAGTTAGAAAAACAACCTTTGATTGTGTGGAAAGGATATTGCTTTTGATTAGTGCGACTGGATTTGAAGGAATCTGACATGCCAAAATACTACAAATATCAGCTGCCGACGATATCCATGAAGAAGGAACAAAGCAAGAATGAAATGCCGTGCAGTTCTGAAGGAGAAAATTACCAATTGTGGCATCCCGTTCCTCACAATATAGCGCTTGTTTTGAGAAATAGGCTGTTCATATGAAAGTAACTTCAAAAGTTGATTTTAAATCATCATATTCAACATTGATGATGGATAGATGCGCAGAAGAAACAATGGGAGAATCATTAACCATGTATTAATTATTTAAGGCGGTATCATGAATCCCTATTCTATATTCATTTTGTTGGAGTTACATGGCGTGAAAACTCTAGTTTATATAAATATTTTGCTCAAATTTTTGTCAAGTTAGCTTTAATCTATTTTTGCCCGTTTGCCTTTGTAATCTTCTCTCACTAACTCTGTATTTTTCATATTACCGCATCTTCTCTCCATATTGATAACTTGCTAAGTTTATAATTTCATTGTCTCATCTTCAACAATGTTAATATTCAAACAAACTACGTCGATTTTAATCTCAGATAGTTTGACAATCTTTCTGATATATTTATTTTTGGTATATCCTTCCTAATCTCTAGAACACATGCATTATAAAATTCTCATTTCTGCATGAACCAACATGGAAGTTAATTTTCCTCACAACATTCAAATCTGTAAGCAACTGCCATTTTATAAAATGATCATCAAAGCTTTGAATTTTAGAGCTGTCAAGTTATGAACAACTACAATAACCCGATGGGAAATCAAAATGCATGGCGTACAGGTTGGTTAAGGTTTACTACTAAACATAGATCCAACATTTTTTGGATTGTATTCGGATTTATTTGATAAATATGATCAAATAAAACTTTTAAGACATTATTTTATTTTATCAAAAGCTCTGTTTAAGCTCTATGAGAGACGCACTATACCAGTGCTCTTTTAACACTCTTATAGGGAGTCTTTACAGCTTCTTTTTGCTCCCTGGCTTCTGTCTCCAGCCCCTTCACACTAGGATCTTGAGCCAAGTCACGAGTAACCTCTTAAGTGAGGTTCGCATCACTAGCAGGTCCTTGTGATTAACAACGGTAAATAGGGACTGATGCAGTGAACTATGCAAAGGCTGCAAGTAATGAACCAAATGGCGAAGGTGACGACCCTTGCATGTGATCAATGATGTGACTGGAGTAAAGGACCTGCATTCTGGTAAAGCTTGTGGTAGCGGGCTGTTAGACCGGTCCAATGTCTAGCCAGTTCACACAGGACCGGCCCAGCGCAACAAAGGCGGAATTTTTCCGCCTCCTACGAATGCTGCGAGACTAGTGGGAGCTTTTTTGGAAGGTTTTTTTAGGGAATTGGGAGGAAATAGGAATGTAGGGATTGTTTAGGGATTTCCTTTGATTTGTATGAATTAAATAGTTTGTTTTCCTAGGGGGCTAGGGCATCTTGAATTTGGCTGAAATTTGAGACCACTTAGATCTAGGTTTTCTTTGGGCTCTAGTGGCGTCTAGAGATTTGGGAGAGATCGATCCTCCTCTCGAATAGAAGATCAATTGTATCTTGCTGTTTTTTTTCGTCCTCTAGTGAATTTCAAGTGATTTTCTCATATTTTCCTATAGTTTTCGCAAAACCTCACTATAGCTGCTGTTTTTTTTTTCTTTTTCTGAAATCCAGCAGTTTTATGGATTTATAGTTGTTTCATACAAAATTGGTATCAAAGCAGTTTTTAGGACCTTTGGTAGGCTGTTTTGGTGAATTTTAGCGGCTGCTCTTGGGATTTCGAAGAAAAAAGATGTTGTTTTTGAAAGTCGAAGTCCAGATTTTTATTTATACAAAAATTCGGGGATCAATGGCGGCAAAGAAAATGGATGCGTTGGAGAAATGCCTCGAAGTGGAGATTGAACAAATGAAATATGAAATTTCAGATCTCCAAACTCAAGTTTCAGATTTTAAAAAAGGATGTTTCAGCCATTCATGAAAAGTTCAATTAGAAATTTTCCATCATTGAGGAGATGTTGAAGAAAGTGCTCAAGGGCCAAACCAAAATATCCCCGTCGGAAGTGAGGGAGGACGCCAACAACCACGGAAGTGGAGAAAATCTGAAGCCAACCAGGCAAAAGGAAGATCAAGAGGTGGAGATTTTGGAGGGAGCAAAAATAAATGCCTCCCCTAGGACCTATTCCTAGGGAGGAGTCCGGTAGAAGGTATGCGGAGAGATGTGAGGAGGTTGGGCATGAGTGGAGGGATGTTGAATTTGAAAGAGGATTGGCTGAATTGGAAAGGCGAGGCCTTGATTTTGATCGAAGAGGTGCCGAATTTAAAAGAGAAATGGATAATTATGTCCAAAGGAGGATTGCATCTAAAAGGGGAGGAGCTTGTTATGATACAAGGGGTGCATAATTTGAAAGGGAAAGGTGGAAATTTGATGAAGAGCTTGGGTATGAACTTAGAAGGGATGATTGGGACACTTAGGCGGAACCACTCCCTTGGGGAAGAAGAAATTATAAAGGGAACAGAGGGAACGGAGGTGATCTGAGGGTGAGCAAGCAAAAGATGCCTATTTTCAAGGGAGAGAATGCCCATGGGTGGATCTATAAGATGAAAATGTACTTTATTGTCAACAGGTTGACCGGGGGGGGAGAGATTGATGACAGTCGGGATGTGTTTGAAAGGGAAAGTTTTAGCATGGTACCAGTGGAGGGATACGAGACGACCAATAAGGACCTAGAGGGAGTTTAAGGACTGTCTGTTGGAACATTTCCAAACCAGCAGGGGAGGGGACTTCTACGAGCAGTTTTTCGCTTTGACGCGAAAGGGGGCAGTGATGGAGTATCGTGAGCAATCTGAGTACCTCGCCAGTCGATTGGATCGGCTTCCAGAGTTTGTAATGAAGGAGAAATTTATGAAGGGACTGAAACCAAAGATCCATGCAGCAGTCAGAGTGATGAGATCTCGGGACTTGGGAGAGTCTATGGAGCTAGCTCAGTTGGTGGAGGATCAGACTGGAAAAGGGAGCAAGAGGCAACAATTCAGGAGGCTCGTACACGATGACCACCAACTTTTTGGCACCCAAGGAGCCAACACCAGGTACTCTTGAGGAGACTTCGAAGGAGAAGACTGCCGGAGGAAGACCTGGAGATAACTTCAAGAAGCTCATAAACAGAATTATAGGAGAAGAGAGTGAAGGGGATCTGTTTCAGATGTGACGAGAGGTATACGCCAGGGCATATGTGTAAGGACCAAACTCTTCAGGTTATTACCGTTTGTGATGACGAAGGAAAGGAGGAGGGTGTCGTTTTTCCACATTGCGAACAAGGTAGATCTTTGGGAGGGGAGTATTGTTAGACCGGTCCAATGGACCAGTTAGGCTAGTCCATACGGGACTGGCCAGCCCAACAAAGGCGGAATTTCTCTGCCTCCTACGCATACCGCGAGATTAGTGAGAGCTTTTTTTGAGGGAATTAGGAGGGAAATTTGAATTTAGGGACTGTTTAGGGATTTTCTTTTAATTTGTATGTATTAAATAGTTTGTTTTCTTAGGCTTAGGACATCTTAAATTTGGCTGAAATTTGAGATCACTTATATCTAGGTTTTCTTTGGGCCCTAGCGGCGTCTAGAGATTTGGGAGAGATCGATCCTCCTCTCAAATAAAGGATCAATTGTATCTTGTTGTTTTTCTTCGTCCTCTATTGAATTTCAAGTGATTTTCCCATATTTTCCTACAGTTTTCACAAAACCTGCACAATAACTGTTGTTGTTTTTTCTGAAATCCAGTAGCTTACTGGATTTATACTGGTTGTTTCCTATCACGGGCCTTACACATAAATCATACATGTCAATGACGCAAAATGACGCATGGTGGGGGGCGTTATTTTCTTGGCACGGTGCAACACATCAAAATAGCACGGACTATTTTTTAACATGTTATAAATTTTAAATTATAAATTATAATTAATTTTTTTAAGGTTTATATATTTATATCATAATTCATTATTAATTAATTAATTATCAAACTTTGTGCCGTTGTGCGTCATTCGCCATTGACAAGTATGCCAGAAACTTGGATTTCTAACAATTATTAGCCTATTTTGAGGAAAAATATATTGGAAATGAGCAGCCTTTCAATGATGGACCTTAGTCACCACTTCTTGATTATTCCCTATAAGAATATTGTAGTCAACATGGACTACCAAGATAACAGACCTTTTCAAGGTGTGTCTAAGCGATCTTTTATGTTATCACGAAGACTAGTCTCAACAATAGCTTAGCAAAACTTATCAAACTATGAAAGAGGGCTTTGTTTAAGCCCATAACTAGACTTGTTAACCACTGGAGCTACTCCAACCTTTTACGTATATACTCATTTTGCATGCTATATATAAGAGTGAAGCCACTCATCCACTTGAGCATCCTTATCTCTGCAACACTTAACTTAATTTTACACTTCTATTTTAATGGCCAACATTCTGCTTCATAAAACATTGCAGGTCTCATCACTATCTTATAGAATTTTCCCTTAAGTTTGAGGGATGCATTCCTATCACACAAAAGACCTGATGCATCCCGCCACTTCAATCATCCAACTTGAATTCTACTAATAATATCCCCATCTATTTCACCATCACTTTGAACAATAGACCTGATATATCTAAAACGTGCACTCTTATTAATGACTTGATCGTCCAAAGTCACAATCCTCCCACTATATATAATACTACTAAAATTATACTCCATTTATTTAGTTTTAGATCTGTTCAAACAAAAACCTTTAGACTATAAATTTGACCTCTATAATTCAAGTTACCTTCAACTCCCTCCTAGTCTTACCAATAGAAGGCAATGAATGCTAAGAAAAAAATCAAATCCTACCCTTTATGAAGAAAGATGAAGATGAACATACAGATCATTACAATTAGCTACCAACACTTGAAAAAAGCATAGCAAAACAAAAGATTGAAAATAAAGATTTAGATAAGTGTTACGGTTATAAAAGGTGGTCTTCAATGGCAATTGTCATCCAAGCAAAAATCTTGAAGAGAAAAACCGCATTAGGGCTTAAGGTTCTAAGACACTAATGCCTCAATAAGTGTAATTAATCATGCCGATAAACTTGCTAGCCCATGGTCATAACTACCTTTCAATTTGAGGGAATCTTTTACAGTACATTCTTCAACCCAAGAAAAACAACTAAAACCATGTTATTATAACCCAAAAGTAGGGTTAAATTGAAGAGTATAATCCAAAATTCCATTTAACTCTTAAAATATTCATTTAAAACAGCAAACATTACATTTTGTACCCCAAGCTTGACATTAAAGAATCTAACTAATGCATTGGTACAATGATTTCTTATTCTCTGTGAATCATTATCATCATCATAATTATCATCCTTATCCCAATTATTTGAGGTTCACATTATGAATCGTCATTTTTTATTCATTCTTATTGAGTATTGTATGAGTTGTTAAACCTATTCTTCATAAATCATTTTAAGAAACTTCATATAACATCAAGTCAAAATAATTTTATTCTTAATCCTTTAACATTAATTTTATTAAGTCATCTAATGAGTGTCTTTTATACCCTTTTTTTGTATGTCCAAAGTACCTAAATTTTCCTACAGTCATCTTATCTTCGGTAGATATCACTCTAACATTTCCTTTGATCTGCTCATTCATCATGTTATCCTTCTTGGTTTAGCCACATATTTTAAAGTTCTCATTTTTGTTATGCGCGACTTGCATAAAAAATATTTATATAGCCCAATATTTGGATTCATACAACATCATTGACCAAATTGCAATTTATAAAATATACCTTTAACGCCTTGATACACTTTTCTATTTAAAAAATTCAGACTTAACTCTAGAAACTATATCTTCATATATATCCTTATTCTTTTATATAATGAATTCAAGATACTTAAACCCATCACAATAATATTGAATGATAATTATTGACATCATACCAACTAGAATTATGTCATACATTCAATCTTTGTTATAGTAAATCTAAGGTCTCTATCTTCTAAATATTTCTTTCATTATTTTAATTTTCACCTATTTCAGGAGAAGTCATAATAATTAGAATTGTATCACCGTGTTCATAACAAATAAAAAAATATTCTTTGAGAATATTAATTGAGATCATAGTAAACATGAAATTGAAACTGAGGTATCACATAGAGGAGAACATACAAACTGTTGCTTTTCTCGAAGTCCCAAATCATCAAGCAATCTTCCAACTGCAGATTCACTTTCTGTCTGCATGAAAAGGAAGGAGATGTTTAGCTGAGAAATCTAGGAAGTGGCTTGTTACCTACAGTTGTGTATATGCACCCAGCATTGGCGAACAAGTTGCCTTATTTTAGTGTTTAAAATGAGGGCATTTACTTTTAAAGAATATTTGATTCTAGCAAAGCAAGAGATGAGATTGTTCATGATTTCACCATTGTATTTGCCCCTTCATCCCATATAAAACCATCTTCTGATGTACTTTTTATTTTCCCTCCAGCTCTATCTTGAACATCAAACAGAGTGACCTTCAGCCCATTTGTTTTAAGCTTATATGCAGCAGCAAGCCCACTGAAAATTAATTTTTTTATGGTCACAGTTAAGAAGTTTCACCAAAATTTATCAGCAATATAAAATAAAAATAAAAATAAAAACATATGCGTTGGAAACAAAATCCAGTAGGAAATCAGCCACATATATGAAGCAAACAAGAGACACTTGCTTTCACTCCTTGCCCTGCCATCTAGCCTCAAGGAAAAGAAGTACTTGGCCAGATTTCTTCAATGCAACTTGGATGAGTGGCCGGCATACCATGCAGTAAGAGCACAATAAAGCAACTTCCAGGAATGATATTTTGATCACCGCTTGTTAAGGTCATAACAAAAAATCATCCAGACATTTACTTTAAAAAGATATCCTTTGTTATAATCATCAAAACTAATAAATGTAGAAATTGATTAACAGGGCTGCATTTCTTTTTCTTCTCATTCTTTTTTATTCAGTTTGAGCTACAAAATAAAGGCCCAAAGTTTACCTGACAGAGCCACAATCCTACATAAAAATTAAACTAATAATGTCAATGTGTATATTAATGAAATACAGGGATGGGATTTACAAAAACAGGAATTTAATTTGTGAAAATAGATAATATGCAGTAACGACAAATCAGAAGAAATTGTAAAAATATTGCCAGAAATTGGAAGCAATACCAACAATTAATTCAAACAATCTTTACAAACAAATCCACCATTTTAGAGAATAAATACAAAAGCCAACATTGGCAAAACAAATAATAAGAACTCAAATAAATAGGCATAATTGATCAAAATGAGTTTTTGGAGCATTTGGAGCAGACCTGACTCCACCACCCACAACTGCTACTGATTTCGCTGGATCTGCATATCAAAATTTTTAGAAAAACATTTAGGATGAATTTCTTATTTGCACCATATAAAAAGCAAAGTAGCATGATCTCCACTTAAAAAGAATAATAAAACTATATACTAGTTTTAAAAACCAATTACTGACAAACACTATAACAAAATAGTCAGCATTGCAATTAACGGATCACACGAACTATAATCATGTTGAAAGAGATACCTTGTTGCAACAAAGGCTCTCCTAGTTCAATTGTTTCTTTCCCCATTCTGTCAGGAAACCTAGCAAATTACAGTTGAAGAATGGTACTTGTGTTCTCTTATACAGAACGCAGATAACATCAATTATCTATTTTTTAGCCAGGGTAGTCAAAACAACAGAAAGTTGAGTAAAAAAGTTATGGTTAATTTTGTGATAACAATATTTTGACACGAACGAAAAAAAACAAATCTACAAACTTAATTTTTAATTTATCCAGTTATTTTTGCTTCTGCTAGCTTAATCAGCCAAGCCCCTCATTGAATCGTAGCAAATTATGTCAGCTTGATAATATATAGGCCTTTGAAGGGATTTATCTGACAAAATTCCAACTTGAAGCCGCATCTCTCCCCGGGAGTACTACTCCATTACGAAAATCGAAAACATTCAAGCAATAGCGGTAATCTAGGATTTGACATATACGTGAAAAGGAGAATGGAGTAGATGTAGCCAGGTGCATGCATCAACCTAATCTAAGTCTTAAAATCAAAGAGCGAGCGGAATAGAGAGTGAGTAGAGGATTACGTTGTAATGCCGTATCTTTTTCCACCGGTGAAGCCATGAAGAGATGCGGCCTTTGTTCTTAGCAAAGCAGCTCGTAAATCGTAATGGCGTCAGGCTGTCTGAGTGTCGGCCAAGAAGGCAAGGACCGGATGACAGAAATCGACAAACAGGGTTATGTTCGGGGACAGATTAACCTGTTAACGGGTTTGTTAGGAGCGGCTCTATCCGACCCGAATACGATCCAAATAGCATTCACTTAAGATTACCCTGTTTCGGGTCAACTTTGAAACTTGAAAGTGCCTAAAATCTAGGGGTGTCAATATTAGACACGACCTGAAAATTCGATTTGAATCCGACCTGAAAATTTCGGGTTAGGGTCAACCCGAACCCAAAACGGGTCGGGTTCATATTCAACATTTCGACCCGTTTCAAAAATCGGGTTGGTTGGGTTAACCCTTTGACCTGAAATTGACCCTTTTTTGACCCGAAAACTTGATTTTGACCCGGCAACCGGAGTTTGACTCGATTTTGACCCAAAAAAGAGGTTATAGACCCGTTTTTTACCTGAAAACTAGCAATTTTTTGTTAGAAACAGGTCATTCGGGTATGTCGGGTTGACCAGGACCCGAAGCGGGTTGGGTTCGAGTCTAGAAAACCGTCCAGTTTTCAAAAACGGATCGGGTTCGGGTTGACCTGAATAGTGTCAGGTCAGTTTCGGGTTCGACCCGAACCAGCCACGTGACCTGAAATTGACATCCCTACTAAAATCCAAGAATAGAAGATGAATATGCAAGATTTGAACAATATTTGATTAATAATGAAATATTGTTCTAACAACTTACAACAAGGTTAATTAAGATTCCATCAATGTTCGATCAAACTTCAAGCAAAGCGCAAATTTATTGGTTTGCACTCCTTGTCTCTTTGAGAATTGACTCATTTGAATTATCTTGTTATGCACGTAGATAACTACTATTATCATATATAGAGAGAAACAATACACTGTTCATGACACATATAGAGCAGGGGTGTAAAGGAAAAAAATTGATTAGGCAATTTGAGGTTAATAGCATCATTGTGTTAAATATGATAGAGTTGATGGTTCAACTGTGGTGGTCAAGTGAAACCAATTCAATGATGTGAGTTGTGGTGGTCTGATGGTTATGGTATTGGTCTACCGGTGATGGTTGAGAGACAATAGTCTAATGAAGGTGGTCGGAGTGACAATAGTCTAACAATAGTGATCGAGAGATGGAAGTCTGCTTATAAAAGCTGGGTGGTGGTGGTTCAGAAGTGGAGGTCAGGTAATAGTGGTCCAACATTGGTGGTCAAGTAGCGGTGGCCCAATTGTGATATAACGATGATGGTCTTATGGTGGAGGTCACTCAACATTGTTGCAATGGCAAGTATTAAGCGACAATGGTTATCGGGTAGCAATGGTGGCGGTCAGACAGTTGATGTTTAGCAATAGTGGTTGAGTAACAGCCCAATGATGAAGGTTGGTTTGTGCCCATTCGACGATGAAGGCTGAGCCATGATAGTCTGACGATGATGGTGATCTGACGATGTTAGTCGGGCAACGATGATCCAACGATGATGGTTGAGTAATTGTGGTACTCCAAAGGTGGATATGAAGTGACGATTGTGACACCTCCAGAATCAGAGTACTTTGGAAACTAGTCTAACCTGACTAGAAATTAGGTAAATTATTGAGTTTTTAGTATTTGAACTCTTTTACATGTGTTTGAAATGACATATTTGTATGAAAAAAGGTATGGATGTTTTTTGAAGTATATTTTGGGGGCATCAATGCTTGTTTTTTTAAAAAAGGATTTTTTTTTTCCTGAAGCACCCCGACACTGCATGTTCTGGTGATCCAGCATTAAGCTTTCTAGAATTTGAAAAATGAACTAGGACCGCGACACTCAAATAGTGGCACCTAATTGTTAGTCTACTTTTTGCAATTAAATATATTAAAATTCACTATTCCATCAACTCGTTTCATTTGGGCAAGTGAATGGTGAGAGAAAGAGAGAGATTTTGCCTACCATTTTTTGATGCAATCTATGGTAATTTAGTTATGTTTTAAAACTATAAATTTTTACTCAGTAGGATTTGTTATTGCATACCATTATAAAAAAAAAAATTGTTAAATTCTAAATTGGCTCAGTTATGCTTTAATTGCTACAATATGATGAAATATGTATTTATGTGATTGAATTATATATTTTATTATTTGAATTGAGAAGTTCTAGGGAAGTTAAGTGTGAAAGAAGCAAGATATTATGGTGCTTATAAAGCATATTCTTATGGTAAAATATTATGTCCTGATGCCTACAGACATTTTTTGATGATACAAGCACATTATATTGGAAGTCATAATTGGGTTAGAATACTTTGAGATCATGTATGGGATCAAAAAAATATATTATTTTATGTTATGTGAAATAAAGTCATAAGTATTTCTTCTTTTGATTTTTATATAGTCATAGATAGTTTTATACCTATGTTATGTAGCATTTGTTTATAGTCATGACCTGTGATTGTATAGATATTTTGATGATGAAATGAAAAAAAAATATATATGAGTTTATTTTTAGGATATTGGACATTTTAGCAGCTTTGTAGTATGTTGTTTGTTTTAACATTTATATTAGAAGAAAATCTAGAAATAAAATTCAAAACTAGATATTGCATGGGATTCGTATGTTGTAAGCCAAAATGATAGGACATGTCTCATCAGTAGGTCTTGTCAGATTGGGTTGTGACAACAACAGTCTGATTGTGATAGTCAAGCATCAGTTGTCCAATAGTGATGATCAGATGGTGTTTGTCCATTAACAAATCCATCACAATTGTGATATATAGTTGGACAAATGTAAACTTAGTAGTAAATTAGAACTTCATAGCATCCAACCAATTTATCAAGTGGGAACTATATTCTGACAGGTAAGTTTTTCACATGTTGCAATGAATATGTCCCTTAAAAAGTTTTTTTGAGGAAGCATTTTTCATAGGAAAACATTTTTAGTAAAGATTTTTTTGATTTGTTAAACATATGTTTTTTTAACTAATTTTCTAACAAATAGTTGTTTGAAATTAGGTTTTTTTTTTTTTTTAGAAAACGCCATTAAGAAATTTTGTTAATTTTGATATTACTCTCCTCTACACTTGCAACAAATGGGTGTGGTTGCTCAAATATGTATCCTTAGCAAAGTTGTCTTCATCCTAACTACCTTCATGGCAAATTGTAATGGTTTTCCTTTAATTGCTTGGAGGTTGACAAACTTCAAACATTATTATTATTATTATTATTATTATTATTATTATTATTAATATTATTATTATTATTATTATTATTATTATTATTATTATTATTATTATTATTATTATTATTATTATTATTATTATTATTATTATTATTATTATTATTATTATTATTATTATTATTATTATTATTATTATTATTATTATTATTATTATTATTATTATTATTATTATTATTATTATTATTATTATTATTATTATTATTATTATTATTATTATTATTATTATTATTATTATTATTATTATTATTATTATTATTATTATTATTATTATTATTATTATTATTATTATTATTATTATTATTATTATTATTATTATTATTATTATTATTATTATTATTATTATTATTATTATTATTATTATTATTATTATTATTATTATTATTATTATTATTATTATTATTATTATTATTATTATTATTATTATTATTATTATTATTATTATTATTATTATTATTATTATTATTATTATTATTATTATTATTATTATTATTATTATTATTATTATTATTATTATTATTATTATTATTATTATTATTATTATTATTATTATTATTATTATTATTATTATTATTATTATTATTATTATTATTATTATTATTATTATTATTATTATTATTATTATTATTATTATTATTATTATTATTATTATTATTATTATTATTATTATTATTATTATTATTATTATTATTATTATTATTATTATTATTATTATTATTATTATTATTATTATTATTATTATTATTATTATTATTATTATTATTATTATTATTATTATTATTATTATTATTATTATTATTATTATTATTATTATTATTATTATTATTATTATTATTATTATTATTATTATTATTATTATTATTATTATTATTATTATTATTATTATTATTATTATTATTATTATTATTATTATTATTAAAAATTAGAAAATATTATTTAAATAAAATATAATAATTAAATGTAAATAATTAATTTTATAAAAACTCTTTTTATAGAATATTTTGATATAAATAATATTTTAGTTTTGATATAAATAATATTTGAATTTATAATGACAAAAATGACTAAAATTTATTTTATTTTATTTTTAATTGATTTTTTTTCATTTTTTCTTTTTGTCAAAACAATTGAACATTATATAAAAAAATAAAATAAATTTAATTTTACTTTTTGGAAACGTAATCATTATGGCCAATTTATAAAAAATGTTGTAATTGGAAATTCATAAACTTATTTTCTTTAATATTATTCATTAATAATTTCAACGGCTGAAATTTCAATGTGCCCATTAAGTAGAAAATTATTAAATATCCCAATTTTTCAATTTTATGATTTCTAATTTTCTGGATTAATTAGAAAATACAATATAAAAATTGGTGTTAAGAAACTGGACCTTCAAATTCTGGTTTCTTAAGAAACCATAATTTGTTAATCCGGTTTCTTAAGAAACCGGATTAATTTATTCGGGTTTCTTGTTTAAATTAAAAAATAATTGAATTTCAGAAAATAAAAAAATCAGAGAAGTAAATAAAAAAAATAAAAATATAGAAACCGGAGAAACAAGATCCAATTTCCGTTCGAAATAGAAACCGGATAATCAAGTTACGGTTTAGAAACCAGATAATTGAGTTTCGTATTTGCTCCTTTTTAATTTTTTTTAAACCAGATCTTTAAACTAATTTAAATTTAAAAGACATTCCTTTTTATAAAATGGCCATTTATGAATGTAATTTGGTGCATTAAGTGTTAGTATGTTGGTGAAAGGTGATCATGTTATATATGACAAATTAATTGTGCTTCTTTTTTTATTATGTGTGGGTATGATTAGATTTTTCAAAGCAAAGATGAACATTTCTTCATTTTATGCATCATATTTTTTACTTTTCTACTCAGTGAGTAAGATAATCTCTCTATTCACTTGAACTTCGAGGATGAAAATTAATTAACAATCCTTTGATGAAACGAGCTTAATTGAGTACATGATATTCTTCTTTAGAACAAAAGAAATAATCTTTACATAACAATAATAACACAGAAGAATCATCTCAACATAGCATACTAGAAAAATAAAATAAAATAAAATCTCCAAACAAACCATTCATGGATGGACTGCAATGTGCAAAAACTAATATAAAATCTCTGACATTGGTTGATTTTTAGGCTTATGAAAAAGCCTATGACCAATCTTTTCTTATCTCGAAGTAATAGCTCATTTCCAAATAACATTTACCATCATCATCCACAAACTGAAACATCGAAAAAGAGATCCTTGTAAGATTTTAATAGAAGAAACAAAAGAGCCTCAAACATGAATGTTATTTACCTTTGTTTTAGCAGAATAGGATCCCCTTGCAAATATGCCAGAAGGGGTGGTATCCTCTTCTAGCTCATAGGTGTATGGCTCCTTCTGAGGGCTGAAAGTTCCCAGCATCACCTTTGTGTTCTCAACTGCACAATTTCAAACAAGTCACATATTAAGTAACCAACTGAACTAAACAGATATGAAAGAACTGTTAAAAGAATTAAAGGGACTATTATTCTCTTAGGCTTCGTTTGTGACAGTTTTTTTACTGCTTCTTAAAACAACTTTTGAGCATAAAAGTCAAAATTTTTGTACTCAAAAGTTGCTTTAAGAAACAGTAAAAAAAACTGTCTCAAACGAAACCTTAATCTTTCTTTACCTCTCACTCCAGTCTTCCACACAGTGTTCGTGTACCGGAGTCCTGATACAATGTTATTTGAGACAGTGAAGGAGAATTTGAGTCGGTAGCGACTGCTATCCTTAAGAGTAAATGCATAGCCCTTCGCATTTGGGACGAAGGGGATAGGTAGAACCAGGTCTGGTCTATCAGGAGTGATGATTGTGAGACTCTGGATCTTCACTTCTGGATCTGGATTCTCTGCATTAGTTCAGTAAAAGAATGCCATCACTAACTTCTACTTAGTGCTTACAAAAAATACAAGTAGTTCTTCATTCTACCTTGTTCAATAAAAGCAAGATGACCACCTTGTTCTTCAAAAAGAAACTATCAATGATTTATGCAATTGTTCGTAAGTGCTCAAATTGTTCAAAGAATAATTGAAGACATGAAAATTTTATTAATTAACATATTGAGGAATTTTGGAAGTTATTTAGATTTTTCGTATTATGTGGTAAGAAAATCAATAGTTTAGGATTATATTTATTTCTTAAAAATCAATTTTGTATTTCTTATTGATGCATTTTAATGAAACCACACAATCAAACGAGTTGTTTTCATCGAAATAGAACTAAAAATGAGTAAAATTAGATGGATATTTGAATAAAGCCAACGACTCTAGTTGTGGTAAAGCCATGTAACCACCTGGAATTGAAATTAGCATAACACAACCCAACAATGAAGACTAGAAGACAAACAATAAAGAAGGCATAGGAAAAAATCATAAAAAAAAGATGGCACATAAAAAGAGTTTTTTAGTTTTATGCTATATCAAAAGAAAGTGCAAAATATAATTAACACCTTATATACGAAGAGGGAGAATTCATGAAACCAATAAAAAATTGTAATGAGGCTAAAGATGAAGATAAAAAAACTTTTTAACTGACCAGTGGCATTAACTAATGTTAAGTTACTACTTGTGATGAATAGCTTACTATTCCTAGGGCGCCCCGAAGGAAAAAAAAATCCTCAAGATATCTAATCAAATTTTTAGTTAGGAATGGCTCTCAAATCTGTTTGATTTATTTTGAACATAGTGCAACATAGTGTTAGGCCGGCCCAGGCGGAACCCATGGTGGGTCCAAGCATGAGTGAAAACTAGTATTGGAGGGAAGTTTTGAATGGGAAGGGTTGTTTTGGTAATTTGTATTTCTCCTATATAGTTAATTAGGTGCTTAGGAGGGAATTAGGGATTATCTTGAATTTGAATGTAATTTGAGATCTAGGGTTTGTGCTTGGGCTCTAGGCTACGGCTAGAGATTTGGAGGGTTGTTTCTTCCCCTCGAATTGGAGAAACTTGTATCTTTCTTTGCTTCCTCGTTATTTGATTGAAAGAAGGAGTTTGCTTGTGTTCTCTCTCCAAAAAATTGTTATTTCTGCTTGTTTTTTCCTGATGGTTCCTTCTTGAAAATAGCAGATTTCTTGATGTTTTCCCCCAATTTTGATTAGGTTTGCTTGCGAACTCAAGTATTACCCTTAGGGTTACTTGCGAACTCGAGTATTTCCTATCATATAACTTTTAATTTATTTCTTTTGTATTATATAATCTCAAAGTAAATCTACAATCTTTGAAAACAACCCAATTTTTTTCCTACATCCAACATTACATAAATTTTTTGCTGTTATGTTGTTTTAACAATGGAAATATTCAGTTTATATTAAGTTGCCAACAAGATATTTACTAATTTTAAAAGCATTACTTCAGATAGAAACTCTAAGTAGGGAAGAAATAAAAAAACAATCACATATAACATTATTGAGAAATTGATTATCATTAGGGTATTGCTCTGTTACAGTTAGAACATTTATTTTTTTGCTGATTTTCATAATTAATTAGAGTAGATAACGATATTAGATTATGAAGCTTGACTTTTTGTGATGTATATAATATGCTAGGGGAAGGCCCACCTTGTGGGACTCAGGGGAGTTAATATTCACTATGGAAAAGAAATTATGAGAGAAATAATTAGAAAAGTTTATTTAGGGAAAGATGGGTGATTTAAATTAGATATGGGAGGGAAATATGAAGGTTTTATTAAGGGAAAGAGGCTAATTTGAGGACTGATTTAGATATAATTAATTAGATGTTTTATAATTGAAGATGGCATATTTGGGGGTTGACTTGGAGGGGGTTAATTAAAAAATGTTTTCTAATTGAAGAGGGCTTATTTGGAGGGGGCTGATTTGGAGAGAATTAATTAGAATATATTTCCTAATTGAAGAAGACAAATTTGGGGGTTGATTCGGGAGGGAAATAATTAAAGAAATATGATAGATTTGGGAGGAAATTAGGGGAGGGCAGTTTTAGTATTTTACTGTTAATTGTTTGCTTTAAATAGTTATGTGTTTGTTTAATTTAGTTTATTCTTAGGTAGTGAGAGCTCTAGCTGGTGGCTAGAGATTTGGGAGAGCCGAATCTTCCTCTCCAATTGAAGATCCATTGTATCTTGTTTGTTATTTTTATATTTTCTAAAATTCAAAAGATTTGTGGTGTGTTCTTCTTCTCAATTTCTCTTTAGGTTCGCTGATTTAGTTGAAAGTTATTCTACTTCAAATCAAATTGGTATCAGAATGAGAATTTGGAGAGATGGCACCAAAGAGAGTGGATGCGTTGGAAGGAAAAATGGAGCAATTCAAATCCCGCATGAATGAGAAATTTTCAACCATGGAAGGAAGGTTTTCATCCATAGAAAACCGATTAAGAGGGATGGAGAAGATTGATGAAGAAACTCTTGTAGATGCAAAAAAAAATTCATCGGTGGTTCCGATGGTTGACTCTAACCAAGATTTGATTTGGATTCCCTTTGATCGAATTGAAGGGAAAAGATATCAAATGGAAGGAGTTCAACAATGAGAGTTTCTTTCATCAATAACCACCTCCTAGGGCTCTGATAAGGGATAGTCGGAGCTTCTGGATGAGGGGACAACAAGGAGAATTTTTTTTTGTGGAGGTGGTAGGAAGGCCGACCACTATAGGAGACATTTCGAGTAAGGGGAGTGGGTCATCAAAGGAGGAGGGGGTCAACAGCCACCTCCCAAGGCTCCATTAAGGGACATAATAGGGTTTTCATATGGGGAATAACAAGAAGGGAGTTTCGTGGTGAAGGTGGCCGACCACAATGGGAGGTCTTTTGGGCAAGGGGAGTGGACGACAGTAGAAGGATGGGGACGGGCCGAGCCATGGGCATCAGGTCATGTGAAGTGGAGGGAAAAAATGTGGGATTCCCACCCTTGATACACGGGTAAAATATGGAGGGATTATAACAACTACTACACTAGAGGAGGAAGAAGCTATTGGGGTAGCAATTCTAGGGTGAGAAAATTGAATATGCGAATGATTTATGATAAGGAAAAAGAGCAACTCAGAACTTTCAACAAACAAATTGAAGAGGGTAAAAAAAATAATCATCTCAATGAATGATCTTATTGAGCTACCAATTTGTTCTCAACATCTTGGGTTTATTCTTAAGGAGGTACTTATTAGGTGGAAGATGGGAACGATCTTCTGATTTTGTACTCCGGAAAATTCTTCCACCTAAGACCCCCTCCAAATCAGCCCAAAATATACCCTTTTCAATTAAGAAACATCTAATTAATTTCATCTAAATCAGCCCCAAAACCAACCTCTTTCTTTTAATAAAACATTCCTAATTCCCTCCCAAATCTAATTCAAATTAGTCTTATTTTCCTAAATAAACTTTCCTAATTATTTCTCTCATGATTTCTCCTCCTTACATGATGAATATTAACTCCCATGGGCCCCATATAGTGGTCCCCACTAGCATATCAATACTTTCTCCCAAAAAAAAAACACCTTGTCCTCAAGGTGGAACATCAGATTAAAAGAGAATAAACAAGATACAATAGATCTTCAATTGAAAAGAAAGATACAGGCTCTCCCAAATCTCTAGCGAGCGGCTAAAGCCCTCGTAATCTAAGAACAAACTAAATTCAACAAACACATAATATATCTTAAATCTAGGGTAAATAAACTATTTAAAGCAATCAATAAACAATAAAATACCAAAACAGTCCTCCCCAAATCTACCATATTTTCTTAATTATTTCCCTCCTAAATCAACCATCAAATTAGCCACCAAATCTGTCTTCTTCAATTATGAAACAATTCATAATTAATCTTCTCCAAATTAGCCCCCAAATCAGGAACTTTTATTACATCCAGTGAACGTACGCTCCTCTACGTTCGGTTTTAGACAAAAACAGCGCAATACCGAGTTTTTTGAAAAAACTCGGTACAACTCGGTACTCGGTACTCGGTATTGCGCTTTTTTTGCCTAGAACCGAACGTAGAGGAGCGTACGTTCACTGGATAAAATAAAAGTTCCCAAATCAGCCATCTTCAATTAGAAAATATTTTATAATTAACACCCTTCATATCAGCCCCCAAATATGCCCTCTTCAATTAGGAAACATCTAATTAATTCCATCTAAATCAACCTCTTTCTCTTAATAAAACCTTCATATATCCCTCCCAAATATAATTCAAATAAGCCATCTTTTCCTAAATAAACTTTTCAAATTATTTCTCCCATGATTTCTCCTCCTTACATAGTGAATATTAACTCCTCTCCGCCCCTCAAGGTGGGCCCCCCTTACATATTAGTATACTTCTAGAAAGGCATTTGACATTACCTAAATTAATGATATCAAAACTAATGAAACAAACTTTATGATATTCTATCAATACATGAAAGAAATTTAAATGCTTTTAGAATAACTAGTGCATATTTGGGATATTTATTGGCATATCATCATTTATTCTTTATTTAGCTATAGTTGTCTACACGTAATTATCCATATAGTGCTTTTATAGGTACCTAACAGGTTCAGATAGAAGAACTTAGACCAACAAGTTTCAATGATAAGAACTCAGTCAGAACAATCACTTCGTCCTTGATGGGCACTCGCCAGCCAAGGGACATGACTAGCCATAGGCAGACGAGTCAAAAATTGGTCCCCAACAAAAGGGGCAAGAAACTCATAAAAATCCATTTAGACTCCTAGAAGCTTTTCTCTTCAGCAAGGGAGGTAGGTGACTTTTATCGTGTCTTAGTTTTCAAAGATTTTGATTTCGACCGTCTGACTTCTTTTAAATTAAATTTGCTACATTTTTTTCCTTATTTAGCAAACTTCTACAATACAACTTTTTCTCTGTTATAGTACTGATTATTCTAGAAATT